AAAATCAAAATCCCCCCGATTTATTTTTATAGATTTGCTTAACATTGAAATCTCACCACAGAGTAGTGATATAAAACTGGTGTCAAGACAGATTAAGCTGTGGAAAGAGTCCGATGCCATAACTTCTAAAACCGCGCAGTCTACTACTGCAGAGAACCTTTCTCTTCTCTACTCTGAATGTTAAGTTAACCAAAGATGTTCAGATATGACCCTGAAATGACGTTGCATCGACAATATATGGATAAAGTTTCACAAAATAGTGACTAAAATCAAGGGGTACCATGACCACTTTGAAATGGACAAAAAAATACATTAAAGTCTGACACCTTTATTTCAGTTACACTTTTTAATTTTTTTATTTTCTGTTTTCTGATGTTCGTTATTAGTTTTTCTTTTCACGACCAATCTAGGGATTGGGTAAGAACTCAAATCCAGAGCTTATTCAGATATAACAAAATACCAGAAAGCAATTGACAGAGGTCTGTTATCTGCTGGGACGTATTGTCACTTTGTCGTCCGATGACCAGCTCGTACAGACGCCCTCTGATGAGTAACAAAGAAAGGCAACTCAGCACGTGCTCGTTATCCTACACACACTTGTTAACATTTTGTCGACTTAAAGCACATTAAATTGTGTTATTGAGACTAAATATATGTAAAATAGAAAAAGGCGTATATTTCTAATTTGACACCTATTAGAATTTTATTGTTCAACTTGTCATAAAGCCACACTAATAACTATATAAGCTTAATTAGATCAAATATAAAAATGCACGTTCGCTCATGCACATTATAACGCGTTTTAAGGAGCAGTATGCAAAAGTTTCAAAAACTAATTGTATCTGACAATATTTCTAAAGTATACTATTGATATCAATATATTTAGTTTTCTAACAGCTTCCAGACGTAAACTTTTTAAATAGCTTTAGCGTTTAAAAAATAATTGGCTAGATTTTTTTAGTTAAAACTTTCAGACACGCTCTGAGACACATTTCTCTAGATTTTGGTGAACAGTTTTCATAAATTTACTGGACTACACAAATATTATTACAAGAACCATTGAAATAAGACAGTCGTGATTCCACAAATACAAATCAGCCTGAAATTGACGACTACCCACCTCAAGTAATCAAACTAAGTCTCAAGGATATTACAATTTCTTTTTGGTTCAAAGTAGAGAAATATAAAAGACTTTAACATCTTCTAATGCTTTATGGGTTTCTGGGAAATATGAAGATACTGTTGGCACTACGATGACTGTGGTTTATATAATTCCAGCATATCTCTTTATATACAAAATCATGGCGATAAATAGTTATCTCAGACGGGGAATCAGAATGATGCCAATGTTGTTCCTGCTACATAAACCACAAAACGCCTTTTGAACCTTTTGCTAAATGAGAAAGAAGGTAAACTGAAATTGAATCTTGACAGAATAATATTTATTTCGTACGCATCATGGAGTTTTCATCAGAATTCCAAAATATGCCATTGGGGTTGGGAGGAAAAAACAAGAATAAAAATGCATAAAATGTATTTGTTAACAATAATATGAAACCCTATAAAAATAATCCCCAAAATATACATATATAACAACAATAATAACAATTTTATTTTACAGGAAGGAATGTCTAATAGGAATGAATGGAAGAGGAAAATACGCAAAAATTAAGGCACGCCATCAAAGAAGGCACTAAAAGGCATGAATGATGACAATGAAGCCAATCTCACAGTTCCATCCATCTTCACAATGTCAAGCTATTATGAACTTCGTAGTTATACCTTGACTGCAAGAACCACCTTTTTGTGTCATATATGTTTATAGCGTTAATACAGCGATTTGATTACATTGTACGCAAACAAATACAGTTATTCAGAAATCAGAGGCCTCGATAGTGTCCTTAAACACAATCCAATAAATTCACAGAATTCCGTGAAACAAGAAATGTTGCTATTTTAGTCAAGGTATATGACGAAGTTCCTTATAGCTAGACATTGTGAAGATGGGTTCCATAAGAAACACTGATATTAAAATCGTAATACACGTAATAAAGTAATACAGAGTAAATATATTTGGAAGTAGGAAGCCACAGTAAGATATAAATAGTAAATATAAAAATTATATAGTTTCTATACAGTATATGGTTAAAAGTATATTCTCAGTGTATAAGAGGAGCCTGAGAAGCAACCAAGAAAATAAGATGGGAAAGAGTTAGTTTATATCGATTTAGTAAATAATCAGTTTGAGAAACTAGAAGGTGTGCGTATATTATTGTTAAAGTTAATAATAATATTATATATAAACATACATAGGTAAACATTATTAAAATACTCTCTAATCATTGAAGGTGAGAAAAGACCATATTTCAGCAGCACGTGCTACCTGTCTCACGATCTCCAGTCTTGAAAGATAACAAAAGCACGAATTGTGTGGAATATACTATATAATAATACTGGACTTAACTAATGATAGAGTAGTAACTAAAGATCCGTGCCATGTTTCTTAGATAATGGCACACTATTTATTTCGATACACTTTCCTACTATAGGTAGATCTACATAAATTTGTTTTTTTTTACCTTAATGAATATCATAGAGCATTTTCCAAAATATCCGTAATAGATAAAGAATTTCAAAATCGAAAAGTAGTCAGGTTGAGTCAACTAACCTTAAAGATTTATTCTACAAATGTTAGAGTTAGAAAAAGTTTGGAAATGATTAAAGAAGCAGTGTGCGCCGATTTACACCGTATATTTGGAAATATTAAATATTATAGTAGTAATAAAGAGTTTTTTATGAGACTTATGTCGAAAATCTCTTTCAATATAGGACATTTTTAAAAAAAGGAATAGACGACAATTATTTAAAGACAAAAAATAATTATTCATATTGTATTAATTTTTTTTTGTGGCTGGTACACATTCCCCTTTAAACGAAGAATAAGTAAATGAAATATAATAGATCATTGATATATTAAATATGGAGACATAATAAAACTAAAAACTTTAATTCAGGTAACATTGGCAGTGGAATCCACTTTACCAGATTAGATTAAAGGATAGACAAATAACACGTATATTAACTCCACTGATGAAATACCAATGCCACTATTCGCAGATACCCAGCAGAAAATTTGACTGGAATTCTTGGATCATTGAACACAATGGATGGAATATTTTGAGATCAACACAGAAATTTCGTCGTTCTTTCCTCTGCTATCTTTTATTTTATTTCAATGTGGAAGTTGAAGGAATCATTTCAATGTTTTCATGTTAATTGGTGGAACATGTCATGGAAGATATTCTGATATTACCGAACGCTAACACTTTCTTAGAAGGGTTTAGAACTCCGAGTAACCGTCAAAGATACTCAGTATTAAAAGCTGAGAGATTTATGATATCAGATTCCGTTGGACTTTCTGGCATCCAGACTTTAGCTGAATATCTGTTTTCATCTATTTTATGTCCTGGATCTTCATGTTGCCATGATAAAGAATGTCCTAATAAAAACGTTTCGTCACCTTCTTCACCCATAGAATCTGGAATCACAAAATTCAAAACTTGATGAATAAGATAAAGAAAGAAAAGAACATACTTTGGCTTTATAACAAACTGAAAGCTGTAAAAAATATATTATAAATATAAAGTACATATATTATGCTGAAAACAATACTGAAATCACTACTCCATTCCAGGTATAAATGAGCAAGAATTTTTTTTTATCAAATCGCTAAATTTAGAAGAAAATTAATACAGAGAAGTGATCACTTAAGTTTCAAAAATCCCGGTTAGGTTATCATTGGTTATGCCATCTTAGTTTGATTTTGTGACAAACATTATTTGGGTGATATTCATTTTAGAACCGTATTGGGCAGAAAGTTGTATTATACTGGTATTGAAAAAGGGTATAATATAATCTTACCTGGATAATGGCAACGAACTATAACTTTTTCCTGTTGTTTATGTCTATTATAACCATTTTCCCCTCCAAGTTCATTACATGTATGAATAACATTAGATAAATAACTAATATATCGTATAGCTAGTCGCAACGTATCCACTTTAGACAGTCTACGATCTGCGTTTTCTGTTGCAGGTATGCATGTCCGTAAATTTTCAAAAGCATCATTTATAGATTTCATTCGTTTACGTTCCCTGAGATTTGCTGCTCGTCGTTGGTACACTCTTTTACCGTTCGGTTTTATGATGTTGGTGTCATTTGGCGAGAACTGGTTTTCTAAATCGGATTCGTTAGAACACGGTGAATCCAAGTCTTTCCCATAATCAACGGAATCACAGAAGTCTAGAAGTTCGTCTTCCAACCCGAAAAAGTACGATTCCATCATTTTAACAGGAATGCAACACACAGAGCACAAATCAGTATTGATATTTGATTCCGGAAACTATACTTCACAATAAACGATTCCGTTCTTTGAACATGGACGTGTGTCGTCTGCTTACAGATCCACCAAAAATCTACAAAGCGCACGCGCTACCATCGTTTTATCCACACGACAATCGGTAAGTCACACGCGAAACGACTCCTCCTTTAACCAATTGGTTAAACGAGATTGGTCGACCTCACGTGTGTTCATTCAAAGCCTTAAAGATCTGAATAAGACGTTTTCAGGATATTGATATTCACCATTTACGATATGACAAGATTGATATATCAAGCTCCGCCTACATTATTAGTTATGATATGATTGACAGGTTGAAATAAAATCTATTGAGGTATTTTTCTTTTACAAATTCTTATCAATTTATGAAATAGTTGTAAAGAGTTATTATATCACCAAGACGAGCTGATTTTTGTTTGTAGGCTGAAATTGAACCTAATAGGGCGTCTACCAACTAACCAAACAACTGCAAGGTTGAATATAAAATTCTTAAAATTGTGCTTTCTGTATATTTTTCATTTTATTTCCTATAAAACTCATATAAAAAATTCCACGAATTGGAAATTTGAAAAAATTAAACGAATTCCAAGAAAGCAAAAATATCTATATACCATTCAGATATTAAAATAATAATTAATTAAATGGCATCAAACACGAGTTCAAGGGATGTAGTACTTGAGGTTAGTGAAAAAAATAAAGAATATTCATTAAGATTTGAGTCCATTTGAAACAATCGATAAGTATTGAAAATACTGGATACAAGCCTCTTGAAAAAATCTTGAAAGAATCGCACAAATATTAGAATACATCTTGAAAATTTTGACAAGTGCCTAGTAAATACATCATTTTATCAAAATACAATATTTTTTATGAAAAAGAAGCAATTCAGTTTATTAATAGTAAACATCTTGAAGCAAAAGAAGATTCATTAGTAGATGATATAAAAAGAAAGGGACATAAAAGGGAACCTTGTTATCAACCCTTTTCAATTGTGTGATTTTCAATGATATAAAGGCTATGGAAGATCGCCGATACCTTCAGACGGATGACAGGCCTCTTCAGAATATAGATGTTTATGAAATCTGTATAATTTAAATGATTTTGTGGGCAGATTGATTGATCGTCTATTTCAGCTTCACTAACATAAAACAGAATGGCGGCTTTGAGGAAATATTGTGCTGTAAATATGTATTGACATTGACATTAATGTTAAAATGGAAATTTTTACATTTTGATATCTTGGTACTTTAGTTTATTATTTTTGCAAGGATTATTTCCTTATTAAACGTTATATACGAAATAGTATTTTCGTTTGCCCCAAGACAGGCGCGGTAATATTTGTATTGTAACTTATTTGAATTAATTGATATGAATTGATGACATTAGTATATACTGTCCGATTATAACGTTAAATTCTATGTTTTCTATTCCGTTACTAGCCTACTATAATAATATTTAGGCTACAAAAATATACTTTTCCGATAGAATTCTGATTTGTATATCATCTGGGTTATCGCTAGTAGTCTTTGTTTCCTTTATTTTATAGGATGACCCTATCATTCTATACTGTATTTAGATAGGTGTATAGTACAAATGTTTAGAATTACTGGATCATTAGATAAGAATCATGAATATTAAAATAGTCATTTGATCAAGATAGGTGAAAAATGAAAGACTCCTTAAAATAATGGTCATCAATGCTATTATCATTACATACAATAGGGGGTAATTAATGTAACATAAATGGAAAATATTCACCAAGTTTTGTAAAGGAGTTAAATAAAGATTGAATAATTTGTAATTGATGAACTGTGTTTGTAGTAAATTATAAATAATCCTTTAAAACAGATTCGCTCACACGGTATACTCTGAAGACTTGCGAACAAAAAGACAAAGACGTTTCGGACTACAAATGTTTAAGATTAACAATAATATCAAACATGATATAATACAATAAACAGTGGGTTTAATTTAGGCAAGTACCACTTTGATATTGGACTCAGAAGAAAGGGCGTGACCCGGTGGCACGCGAGATCCGGTCAAATGAATATCAACATAGTAAACATGACCAAATCTCTCCTTTGTGCCTCCAACTTTTCATCTATTCTTGTTTGATAATGTGAACAAATCCAATACAACCATTATCAATATTGTAAAGAAATGGCGGTGAAGCGTTAAGAAAGAGAAAAATTGATTAATCTAAACTGAATTAAAGTGTTTATTGATGCACAAATGGGTACAAATTGTTCCGTGTGATATTTACCAGATTGTCTGTTGAATCCGTCCGATTTTTCGTTTGAGGTATTTATAAGTTATAACCGTTTGAGGTATTTATAAGTTATAACCGTTTGAGGTATTTATAACCGTTTGAGGTATTTATAAGTTATAACCGTTACGGGGAATGTCAGTCAATTTAATACCAAATAGATAGAAAATGTGTGGGTAATTAATGGCCATTAATGTAGAAAGAGAATACAGATTTTCACTTATTATATTATTGTGCTTTTTACGAGTATATAAAGATAACAAATTGAAAACAAACCAATGTTAATTATTTCTTAGCTTGTTCTAGTGTTATCGACATTTGATCTTGTTGGCAGATTGATTGTCTTATATTCTGAGGTAAGGTTAAAGTTACACAAATTTTAGTCCTAACTATAAGCAGGTCCAACCGTACGGCCACAGAAGCTGAATAAATACAATATTCAAAATGGTTTGGACAGGTGCTTGTTTCTGTTACAGGCCAGTGTGGTCAGTTGACCAATACAGAGGTCAGTTTATTTCATATGATATGATGGACGCTTCAGACACTTTCGAGTACTTCAATCACTGATATTTCCTTGATATTAAAAATTTGACATTGAAAGATTTCAATCATATTATTTGAAGTCAATGACATTGCCATTTGATGAACAATATTAGAATAGAGTCTTTTCGTCACCCACGAAATCTAGGAAGATGGTGTTATAAAATTTTCTGGCCATCCTAATTGTGTAATCTATAGAGATATTTTCCATAGGTATTATGAAGAACATTTAACGAAACTCCCTCTCTAATTTGCAACCGCAAGAGCATGATAACCAATGTGTATGATAATGGACATAGGAGTCAAGATTATTCTTATTTTTGGTAGTTGGGCCACTCTATCAAATTATTTTAAATAACAAGAAACTTTAGTATACGATTAAGATGTAAATAAGATAGACATATTAGTTTAAATGATAAATAACTCAATTGACATGCGATTAACACACTTTAAGACGTTACCTGTAGATAACAAGATGAGTTATCTGCTCTTTTCGCGAGTTATCTGTGCTTTATCATTATTTCTATTTGTCTTATTCTTATACTGAATAAACTTATTAATACGACACTCCTTCTGACGGTCGCTACCACTTTGATCTTCATCAATATGACAGCAATGGCACTAATTCTCAGACTCGAATCCCTGCGAACATATTAGATACCGGTAGTAATAGTTTGCTGAGTTATTGCCCTTGGTTTTTAATAATGAGTTCATGTTCGATTGCTTTTGTTACCGTTGAGAAATGAATTTATACCAGTAAATGTAAAATGGGGACACTAATTGCTCGGTCGTTTATAGAATGGAAACTGTTCTCAATGCCCCTTTGAACAAGCCAAGTTCCACACAACATCCTGAAAATGGTTTCCTATACAATTAAAGAAAGGGGCAGCTTCATCACACCAGCATAAAACAGTTCGGTAATTAATCAATGAAAACCTCCATAAAATAAACAAATGCACGTGCAGACACTTTACATTCATGTTTGTTAAATATGCTTGCTCAAAAGAAATGCGACCCACCTTTGAAATCAAAATATTTATAATAAGCGTTTCATTTATAAAATATTGGACGTATATTGGTAAAATTATTTATTAATTTCGACATAAATTAATTTTAATTTCTTTCAACTCATTATCAAAGGCCCAGAATATGATCACGCGGGTTACATTGAGTTAATACAAAAACCATCAGTAAAGATTAGGAACTAATTGTGCAAAACCAAAGTGCCACGGGCTATACTATTTTTGTGGTTTGTGTTTCATAGTTCCTGAAAGACGACGAAAAGATTTACACTTCAATGGATATCTCTATGGAAAAACTCTTTACGATGTTCTCATTATAAGATTAACATTACCTGTATCCCCAACGCCTCTCTGCAGACCAAAATACACGTAATAGTGAGAATATGAGCTCAAAATTATTGGACCTTTTGGAATGAGATTTTGTTATGTAAGGAGTTAATTTCATCATATCTTTAGCCTTTTGGAAAGTATATAAAGATATATTATCCATTTTACACTTTTATATTTTTCATTGAAAAATATCAATATTTATTGATCAGTCTTAGTGAGCAAAAACTGAAAAATGATTTCGTTTAAATGAACATGAAAAGTTTTTGGATCGAATTTTTTTTGATGTATAGGCCTATGTCCATAAGCCAATATTGAAACATTATAATGTGGGCGTATAAAAACCAATTAACGCTCTTCATGATCTTGATTTACATTCGAAAATTCAAAAACAAAATACATTTTTATCAGAATCAAGCAGTTGAACGTTCTGTTGAACGTCGCTTCCCATAGAGGTCAACCAAGCGTTTTATCGCATCGCCACAGAGCACCAAATCAACGTAATATGTTTATATTGTTTTACTAACATTCATATCTAATCTGTTGCTCCATGTGATTCAATTTCTTTTCTGTTGTCTCATTTGCCATCGTTCTTCCAAAAGACCAAATTATAGCCATTAAACCAAATATTCTAATTTTCTATGAGGCAGAGATGGTAACTCTGTGGGACACCTTTCCACTCTATTGGTTAATGTTGACGGTAATTGGAAGTTACAGCAACGTGTGGTTTAGAAATAAAAACTTAAATCATTATTTCAAAAAATAGACTTTAAGAAATGTGATCGAATCTTTTTTACCATTCTTTTAAAGTATCCAGCTATTTTGAATAAAGACAAAAATTATTATTTTTGAAAAATATTTTCAATGGGCGTATCTGTGACTGTCATACAGTAGGCCTTTCAATGGGCGTATCTGTGACTGTCATACAGTAGGCCTCATCATTCATTATATTTAACATGCATCCAGGTGTCTTCAATTTCAAGAAAATGTTTAAATTATTAAAACAAAAAGTTTGTTGATATTTAGGTATTTATTTAGACTCTTCAATGGATGTTTGTAGGGGCCTTTATTTCGTCGTCTTAATCTTTGAGTGGTCTTTTTATATTATTATAAATATTTTACAAAAAAACGTCAACGTCCAGTTCGTCATTATGTTTTCTGTTAAAATGCTCTCAGCTTTAAATGTCGTTCAAATCTTACGTCAATAATACAATAAAATAATTTTCAGATATCATCGATGACTAGAAAATTGAAAACAGTGAACTTGCTGAGACAGCGGTAAAGATCAACTTCAATTTAATAAAACCCATCGCTTAGTGGTCGCATTTAGCACTACCTGTATACAATACATTATTTCACGATCAATATACAGTTATTTTAATAATCATTTAAAGGGTCGCCTCTCTTTTAATTTACTTCCGTATTGTATCTAAGTAAATATAGGCAACACGTGCAAAATGGCGGGGCACGCGACGAAAGGATGGTTATGTTTATTTTTGTAAAATATTGAAAAGCTACAATATGAAACGGAACAATATGAGCCCAATATTGATGTTTGAATAATATGGTGAGTTTATTGATTTTTGTGTAGCGAGACTCTCTCGATAAATGTTAAATTATCAAGTACTATAGTTTTAATTCATACTAGGTCTGTAGGCCTACTAGGTTTTCATCTGATCGTGTTGATGTCTGCTACTTTAAGAAAAGAGTGTGTCTGATCTTCACCTGTAGAACGTGACAAGAACAATAACTCTCGGTCTATCTTGATTGGTATGAATAAGGATTGGGCCAATTAGGACAGTTATTGCCTATAAAAAAAACACATTATATCTCAAACCCCAACCCTTTTCTCGTCGACTGTTTTGTAGTAGCAATAATTACAATGCTATCCCACCAAAGTCAGTCCATACATTGTTTTCGGAATATATCCATCGGGTAAATGCATGAAAATCCTTTCAAGGTATTTAAAAATAATCTAAAACGGTACCGGTACTGAAATATTTGAAATATATAAACTCTGGGTTCCCAACTGGGGTCGCGAAAAACTTTTCTTGGTGTTGCGGAAAACTTTTTGAATATTGATATGTTTCGTGAAATGAATGTTATCTACAATGCATTGTAAACTATGTACAAATGTTACAGGTGAGATAGGGGAGGTATCAACCGATTTTCTCATAGACTACAGACTACAACGAAGTGAAAATATTGTAAGGAAGGGAAGTAATACACAATTTTCTCATAAAATACGGACTAAGAAATAAAAACTTTTTTTTAATAAAAAGCAAACTTTATTTAACATTCAACATTAAAATTTATTAAAAATAAAGGAAGTATTTTGTAAAACTTTGTCAGCCAATCTCTTACGTTTTGACAGAGGAATTACAGATTAATCATGTCGGTAGTATTATGAACTGCCGATTTTAAAAAGACAACAAGGTGAAGGCCGTTAATGGCGGTGTAAACAAACCGGCATGGTTTCATTTATATAGACTGTTTGAGTGTTTGATTTGAAAATGATCGGGTTATATGCCGAGAAAAAGACTCAGTTGTCCAGTTTAAGTTTATTACTATATTTTCCTGAAGGGTCTGTATTATTTTTATCATAGGATCTCCTTTCACAATGTCATTTTCTTCTTCGTTCATTCATTCCTTGACAATTTGAATGTCCTTATCCTCAAGTAAGGACACTATGTGCTCACCATTCCAAAATTAATTTAAGCTGATACTTTGCAATTATATCATGCATTTTTGAGTGTGCACACTTATCGATTTGTTAGTCAAATACGTAGACGGTAGTAGGTTCTTTTGTATATATATATATAAAAAAACTGAACTATTGATTTGTTTAAGTTGCTAACCTCCTATAATATTGGCTTCAGTATGGGCATTGGTAATTTTGAATTTCCATTTCAGGTCTGGTAGTGATACTAAATTATCTGAGATATCTATAAAAGATAATACTGTTAGTATCGAACAACATGATTCAATTGTTAGCTTTCTACTAGATCAGACCACAATGTTACCCTCATCATGTCGTGGTTTACTAGTTAATTCTCACGATGAACTACAGTTAACCATACAATACCTAGATACCAACACTAACAGTAAAACAACCAGAGAACATCTTTCTGATAGATTTACAACCCAAACTAAACTAATAGAGGAGATAACTCAATGTGGTAATAATGTTTATTGTTGTGGTTGTGGACAGAAGTTATTCAATGATCACAAGTGAGCTTTTCAATAGAGATTTTTTTTAACATATACCATGGGCAGTGCAGTCAAAGTAATTTTTTATTCAATTCATTTGCTTGCCATATTAACAGTCAAATAAAGAGTTTATTATTTTTTATTATTATCAATATCAACCCCATATATACCAGTATTAACTTTTAAGAAATGTAGAAAGATGAGATCTCAAGTAGTAATTTTTATTTTTATTTTGGGAAGATTGATCAAAATAACCCGATTTGGAAGAAACTTTGTAAGAAATTATAGAGTGATATGATATAGTAGGTGTATATTTCCTTATCTATTTAATTTCAGTAAGTTTAATAGAATACTGCCTTTACCATCAGAAAACTGGTCAGATTTTGCTGATATGTGGTTTTGTCACAAGCATGAAGAAGAGCACCATGATAAGGATTCCAGACCAAATGGTTTAAAACCAAAGCCGAATGACTGTTTAGTTGGTACAACCTATATATTAATAAATAGTAACCATATAAAAACAGACAGTGTTAGTTATAATAACACAGAAGTGGTCTGTAATCGATGTGGAAATTGTATTGGTAAGGGAAGTAACTCCAGTAAATCAGGTATGTTTTCAGTGGATTGTAAATCTTTTATTTCTTTTTCCAGAAATCTTTCAAGTATGTCACATGAAAGCCTGGCCAATACTTGGTTTTTGAACAAAATTCAATATGTCATGACCATAAGATTTTGTGCTAATGAAAATGAAAGTAGACAAATCCATTTTATAAACATACACTTGACTGTCACTGCACACAAAACAATTAATTTAGAATCATCCTTCCACCTGCGAATCTGTCATCAGCTCACAAAATCTGCAAGAAAATGGAATTTCATCAAATTTCAAATCAAGACCAAAAATTAGTGAAAAATAGGCATGCTTAAACTCAAAAAGGGAGGCAGAAAGAGGATTCTTAAAATTTACTAGGACTACATTCGTATTCATTAGCATACAAAGTTTTAGTGGTCTGAATTCTGTAACATTTTGTCATTAATCTCATTGAAAACATATTTAAGAATGGTGAACTAATAATTATGGAATATGTGAAAAGTTTCATGTTATTTGTAGAAAAGGAAGCAGACAATATTAAAAGAATCTATCTACATGCTGTCATGTTTTTATCACCCACAAAAAAAATACAGAATCTACTTTTATCGTCTACAAGGTATGAATGAATTCATATCTCCTGTAGATCTTCATATCTCCACTTCAACAATGGTTCTTTTTGCATGATGATATTACATATTTTAAAATATACCAATCAGTAGGCACATACCCCCAATGTATTAAAGTTGTTTTGTTAAATTTCAGCCAAAAAGAAAGGTTAGAGAATTATCTAAGTCAGTTGATTTTAGAAGAAAGTCGTTTATTTACAAGTTTTAGATTTATTGTAAAGTCAAGTGATTCCCAGGGTAAATCAGTACAAATATTGGTAAGATTATCATTAATAATAACATGATAAAATACACTTTCAATTACATGTATATTTGGGAAACCTCAGTGTGAAAGACAGCAATATTAGGGATGCTTGATATGGGCTTGTATAAAATTAAAATATATGTACATATGTCCAATGAATATAACTTATGTAGGTTATAGTTTTTGATTATCAGAAATAGGTTGTTTCTTTGAGTTCCTCTCAATGTAACATGTTGTCTATTCTAGTTGTGGTTATTAGATGAATATGTGGAAGTTTTCCAGTGTCAGAGCTCTAATAAAATAAACCAAGTAACATCAATACCCTCAGTTAAAGTATTATATAGATGTATTCTATCTACTAGGTAAGTGTAGAACCATAACTGTATTGGGATAAGAGCAATGTGAAGGTGGTAACTGTACTGTTGCTGCAACTGTTAATTAACATGAGTAAAAGGTTTACCTAAAATATATTTTAATTTCAGAGGTTGTAGAGTGGAAGACAAAGCTATCTATAAATTATGGGAACGAGACAACAGTGTTCATCTAATAGACTTGCCTTACACACTATCATTACATCTGATATCATTATTAATATCTAGTTCTAAACACTTACCATTCTCTACTAGACAACTTAATGGTTTTAATGTAAGTACAGTGTTTATAGACTTTACCTTATTCTCTATCATTACATCTGATATCATTATTAATATCTTGTTCTAAACACTTACCACTCTCTACTAGACAACTTAATGGTTTTAATGTAAGTACAGTGTTTATAGACTTTACCTTATTCTCTATCATTACATCTGATATCATTATTAATATCTTGTTCTAAACACTTACCACTCTCTACTAGACAACTTAATGGTTTTAATGTAAGTACAGTGTTTATAGACTTTACCTTATTCTCTATCATTACATCTGATATCATTATTAATATCTTGTTCTAAACACTTACCACTCTCTACTAGACAACTTAATGGTTTTAATGTAAGTACAGTGTTTATAGACTTTACCTTATTCTCTATCATTACATCTGATATCATTATTAATATCTTGTTCTAAACACTTACCACTCTCTACTAGACAACTTAATGGTTTTAATGTAAGTACAGTGTTTATAGACTTTACCTTATTCTCTATCATTACATCTGATATCATTATTAATATCTTGTTCTAAACACTTACCACTCTCTACTAGACAACTTAATGGTTTTAATGTAAGTACAGTGTTTATAGACTTTACCTTATTCTCTATCATTACATCTGATATCATTATTAATATCTTGTTCTAAACACTTACCACTCTCTACTAGACAACTTAATGGTTTTAATGTAAGTACAGTGTTTATAGACTTTACCTTATTCTCTATCATTACATCTGATATGATTATTAATATCTAGTTCTAAACACTTACCACTCTCTACTAGACAACTTAATGGTTTTAATGTAAGTACAGTGTTTATAGACTTTACCTTATTCTCTATCATTACATCTGATATCATTATTAATATCTAGTTCTAAACACTTACCACTCTCTACTAGACAACTTAATGGTTTTAATGTAAGTACAGTGTTTATAGACTTTACCTTATTCTCTATCATTACATCTGATATCATTATTAATATCTTGTTCTAAACACTTACCACTCTCTACTAGACAACTTAATGGTTTTAATGTAAGTACAGTGTTTATAGACTTTACCTTATTCTCTATCATTACATCTGATATCATTATTATTATCTAGTTCTAAACACTTACCACTCTCTACTAGATATCTTAATGGTTTTAATGTAGGTACAGTTTTTCCACTTCTACATTTCAGACCAGGTAATTATAACTATATGTTGTTATTTGTAATTCAGGTTGGCTTGTTGCAGTTACAAAAGACCTGATACATTCTTGTCACAAGGAAAAGGTTTGAAACAAATCGAAAGAAGAAAAACATGGTGTTTGAGAAAATGTTTTTATTGATGCAAAAGTGATAATGTCATATACTCTTATTAAAGATAATAAATTCAGTTATTCAAAAGTATATTGAGAATTATATTATTACCCCAAGTTTTTGACTCATGTACTGTTTGTACACAATGTTTATATAAGGATATTAACCTATCAATATTTGTATAAAGGGAGTCAGTTATCTTCACTCCAGTCATAATTCCAGTCAAACCAGCCTTAAATAGGTAGGGGTAATCTGGGACAGAAAGGTTTGGCCATGGACCTGCTTGTAGATCATTTATGACACTGCTTCTCAACCTCATTGAAATCATTGGCCCTTGGAAGAGTTCCTCCAAATCTATCCCTCCCAAAAATAAATCAGTTTTTTGAAACGTATTTCACTTGAAAATTGTATTCAACCAATAAATTTTTTTTGGGTCCCTAAATTTGAAATATCAGGCACTATTTCTTAATTATTTTAATTAATTATCCATAATTATAGATTGTTAATTTTAACTGTGTCATGTAGGCCTATGATCAATTTAATTAATTTACAAGGCTTAAAGTTTATTTGAAAAAAAAAAGAAAAAAACAATCAATTTGGAGTTTCAAATCACGAATTTACGTGCTTTGGAAAAATCTGCCGACTTTTCACCCAATCTCCAGATTTTTTTTTCTGACCTGTACACATGTATGAACTATTAACAATGAATGGATGTAAAATCGTACTCCACATATCGAGATAATTCAATGTGACCCTGTTCATTAATGATTTTCTGTATGTCCAGAGTGAATGATGTCAATTTCAGTTATAGATCACCTTGCCTCCCATTTCCTTCCTGGTACAATGATTCCTCCCCTCAATTTCCTTTTTTGGGTTCCTTCCCTGTTAAGGAGCACTGCTATATGAGACTTATAAAATTGTAAGCCTGTTTTATATGCAGGTTTTTTTTCGCTTGAGCATAGCAAGCTTCATATCTCGGCTTTTACTGTACATGTGCAAGTTCATTTACAAGTAAATCGAAGGAGTAGGACGTGATACTACTTCCTTGCAAACAATCAGAGACGCTGAAAAGGCAGGCAAAACAAACTGACATATTTGTCTAAAACTTTGCTTCCCTCAACATAAGAAAACTTGAAATTGCGAGACTAAGTGAATCAAAGCTTTTCTCTGCTCCTTGCTTCATTCACTTGTTTGCTTAGTGTAGAATATGTATTGTTGTTTCTTTTCTTTTACTCCTTATGCATTAAAACAGTCTTCAAGAGCACACAAACACATTTGATAACATATTTGTATGATATAACAAAAGCCATACTTTGACAATTTTATTGTTGTATTTTGAACATAACTATATTTAGAGACAATTTAACTAATGACAATACTAATAAATCAATATTTGCATATAAATGATGGTATACATACAGTAATGTTTGGTTAGAATGATAGGTGATCTTTAAGCTTGGTTGATTTTTATCTTATATATAACATCATATCTTAGCTTCCAGCACTAATATATCTTATCATACAAGAACACAATATTCAAGGTGTATAGTCACAGTTCTTATCAAAGCATCACAAAAACAGCTAATAATTCAATAATTTTTTCAAAGGATCAATGGAGACTAAGAACGTAAATATCTTTGCTGAACTTTTGATGATTAAAAATCACACAATAATTTGAAATCATGAAAAGTTATGATATTTATGACAATCAAAGGAAATGAAATTGAACAGATAATTATCAGGTCTATTCCACCGCCCATTGGCCTATTGCCAGTAGTTTGATTTGAAATACACCATGGACAGTAACAAACATATAATATATTGTAGTTATAACCATTTGTTATGGAAACTAACAAAAATCATTTAAAACATAGTTTATATAACAAGTATGTAACAATTCAATCTGATAAAAATACAGCTGCAACATTTTCTATTTTTCAAATGAATGGAGTTTTATGTCCTACTTTTCTGCACCATGTGGGCTAATGAAGACAGACAATGACATGACATGAGGGAAATTTTGCCCAGATTATTGACCCATCCAAATGACCAGTCCCATTTTCCATGTCAGCCCCTCTTATCTGCATCACTGACAGGGGAAACAAGGCTGAAAAATCAGAGGGTATTATCTCGACCTATACTGATATTGAATCCTGGGCCTTCAGATTAGCGAGCAGGCAACTGACTGAACCACGATGGCTCTCCCTTCTTTTTTTGAAAGTTTATTGCTTCTTAATGGGTATCTAAATAACAATGAAAATACTTATTGCACATCTTCAATTTGTGTTGTTTTATATTTACAAAGCCTGTGTACCAGTTACTCAATCAAGTCACCCACAAAAGGTGAAATATTATGAGCTGTATTTTAATCAGATTGACAAATAATATAATAATAAATAAATGGAAATATTCTATGATATAAACAAACAAACAAATATTCACAACAAAACTAATAAGACATTTTCAAATTGAGAAATTATCATATTATTTGAAATGGATCTGACCAACCTTTCAAAGTTATTTTGAAAATATTAAAAAAAATTCAAAATGCATTTTTTAAGAGGTTAAAATTAAAAAAAAAGAGTTATTAAGCCTTGTGTTTGAAGTAAATCTTTTAAAACTTGTGACACCATTTTCCACCAGCAAATGGCAATGGCAATTTCCTATCTGTAAAATTGCTGGAACAGATGAGAAGTAAGAATAGTGTAAATACAAGTTACACAGATATACATACAATGTTAGAAAGCTTCCGAAATATTGAAAACAAATAATTCAATTACACTTGCTATAACAAATATTCATATTCTTAAATTAAGACAAATATAGTGCAAATTTCTACAATTTATACTTAAACTGGAGTTTTCACTTCATCTTATGACAAAAATTGTGATATTGTTACTAAAACACATTTTGGATATCAAATCAAACAGGTAGTTTGCAGGTGGGATTCAGATATACAAGACGTTTGAATCTTCAGTGTTTCTGTGAACAAATATTTCTGCCATAAAATAGTGAAAATGAATTCTGACAGACAATTGTCTTCCACAAAAAATATGCCTTTGTTTCAGTAAAATGATGAAAAATTTGAACAAACCATGGACAACTAACTATTGTTTTTATTGACTGTTAAATGGGCCCTATTCAAAGAAAACATCATCAATTATACAAATAAACTTCATTATAAACATTCAAATAACAACTAACAACAGAAATGCCTTAATACAAGAGAACACAATCAAACTTTAAACTGATATTTGTCTCTAAAGGACAAGGTGTTCTGAAACTTACAGACCACTATTAATAGATTAAAGCCTTGCAATTGAATGGGTTATCCATATGGTTTGCCCAACTAAAACGTGACTGTCAACTTTCTTGTATTTTCTGCCATGGGGACAAAGCTATGAAAATATGAAATGAAGACGGTATAGTATCAACAATGACAAAACAAATAACAAAAATGACTGACTAAATCCTTCCCAACAATAATAATAATAACAAAAAATAAACTCCAAATTGATCAGACTTGCTTTATACCACTAAGGTATATGAAATCTGAAAGTATGCAGTAAGTTACTTGTGGAAAATTATATGGATGATATGATTTTTATCTCTAAAGTCATGATAACAATTCATCTACTTTACTCAGTTAACAAAGACAATTCACCTCTATATCATGCATATTTTTACTGCGAAGCCAAAAGAAATAAGTGTAAAACCTCTAAATATACTCTTGAAAGTAATTCATATCCTATTTCACCTAATACATATTTACTACCACATTAAAACACAAATATTTTGAATATTATTAACCATGGAAACTGAATTTCATAAAATGCTTGGAACATTATGGATTGAGAACTCAACCAGTAAGCTATTAGGGATAGGTAATAGTTTAATAAGCAATTTGGAGTTTATTACCTCTAATATATAATTACTATTAATTTAATATGATATATATTTACATTTTAACAACAGCTTGCCTCACCCAAATTTATCAAAAGAATCAAGCATTAAAGTAGAGTAAATCTTGATGACCACATGTTATATTCTCTTGTGTATAAGCTGTGATTTACTGATATTATTAACAGCAAGAAAATTGGCAGTGTTCTTAAAAGGAGATAGGAGCTGTGTGTGTTAATTTGTCACAATCTGATTAAAGTAAAGATTCAGATGTTTTTGTTGCAAGTTTGGTCTTTAGTTCATTATGCTTGCCAATCTAGATCAGGCACAAGTTTTCTTATGTGTTCAGTCAAATTTTGACCTAGAAATATGAAGAGTTGTGGTCAATTAAAGAATCAGATAACATGACTGGCAACTGTATAACAATCTTCATCAGATCATGGTTAAAAGAAATGGAATTACCTACAGAAAAAACACAAATTGAAATGTTTTGAAATCTGTATACAAATCTGAATGAGATTTCAGTATGTTTTATAAGTAAGTATAGCATGGAGTGCTTTTTATAGCAAGGTACTAAGTGTGTATCAAAAATTTAACAAAATTGTCTTAAAGATATCAAGTGAATTATAGTAAAAACTGTCAAAAAAAATACAAACATAAAAACTTCGTTATTTAAAGATTCAAGAAAAACTATAATCATTAAAAATTTAGTTAAAAATATAACTAATTTCAGTTTTTAATTCATGTGATGATAATAAATGCATTTTAAATCATATTCTGGTCTCACAAACTGGAATTTTTTAGCTCATTAATAAGTAATAGTACTCACAGCTCACTGTCAAAATTTGAGCCTTTAAATCCACATGTGTCCTGAATTATCTGTGTTTGAATGTTAAAACAACGACTCGTCAATTTAAGATACTCTGTGATATATAGAAAAGACATATATAGAAATAATGGGTAAAAGTTCTACTTTGAAGTATTTTGAAAGGAATTATAAGATTTTCGTAAATTTCTAGTACTTCTGAAGACTATTGACATTTATTCAATACTAAAACCACCCAAAATGTCCCTTTAACAAAGAAATTAAAAAGTAAGAATTACATTTAAAGTTTTTGACAACATTCATAAATTAATATGAAGTTTGACACCCTACAAACCACATTATTCAATATATTGTATGTGTCTAGTGAAGGAGTTTATAATCTTATTAGTTAGTTTAAGTATATCAATTATTTAATAGCACAGTTTCACCAACATGTAGAGTAAATAATACATCATCTTATTATCACTTAAACACTATCTAAAAATTCATATCAAAGTCAACTTCTGTCCTTTGTGGCACATCTACAACATTATTACTTCTTTGATTCCATTAAGTTCTTTATGGTGCATCCTGGTTTTAAGTCACACATTCACATCAAATAGCGCTAAAACATTTCTCTATATCATTTAGGTGCATTTTGGTTTTAAGTCAGACATCTCTGACAATCACATAAATTACACTATATATATTATAGATGGTATTTTTCTGACTATGAACAGTTAATTTAGGTATATTTTGGTGTTAAGTCACTCATCGTTTTCGACGGCAGATACGTTTGTGATCTTTATGCCAATGTTCTTGTTGACATTTGACACTACAATAGGATGTATTCCAACAACAATGATACATGGCCTCCTCTTCACAGTTAAAACACTGTAATAGATTCATTATAAATACAATATTATCATCAACATAATTTAAATAAATTATATCACCAACTTCAATATTATTAACATAAGTTTAAAGGTATACTACCTCTTATAGGATGAAAATGAATCTTTGTTTATCAGTGGACTTACCTGGTGTCAAAACTATACAACAGAATACCTCTACAATCCAATAAATCCATAAAACTATGTAATAATTACTTAGTTTAATCGATATATTGTCTTATACAGAGATTCAATTCTATATACACTTGACAAAGTTTCAGAATTATTACATCCATTTTAAGAGGTGGTATCCTTTTAAATATAAGCTAATATGGAAATGATAACAACAGTTCAGATATTTATACTATTGTCACTTACTTCCTTTTATATCATATATCTAGGACCCTTTCCTTGAAAACAAGGAATGCAATATGACAGCCACTTTCTCAAAATTTGTCATTATGATCAAGAAACAGATTCAAAATGACACATGTTGATTAGTTAAAAAAAAGATCATTAGAACGGGACTGTGATAGATTACAATGGAGATCAAAACAATTAAATAAATAAAGCAAACAAAATTTGTTTTGTTATCTAATTCTAATTAGTTTGCTCACTCCTTTCATGTATATTTCTAAATTTATGTTATCAAATAATAAAGGTAAACTTACCCATTGCTTTTTCTTGGTTTGAGAAATGGCCTCTTTATGTTTTGTTGCTAATTTTTTCATCTCTTCCATAAACTTTTCTTTACATTTCTCTTCAGTTTGTTTTCTAATTCGTTCTATTTCTGTTTTGGTATTAGCCATGGTCCTTGATACAGCCTGCTGTTTATCTTCTTCAAAACTCTTTAATAACTGTAGAAAGATAAAATAGGTCATAGCCTGAAACTCTGAATAACAACATGTTTCAGGTTCTGTATTAATATTTCAATAGAGATATTTATATACTTATACTGTGATATCTTGTAAAATCATTTATTTTCATGGGCATCAAATTAAATGGGAAATATCGTCTCATAGTATATTCATGCAGAGGAGTATGAAATTATTATGTGAGAAATACAAACAATATTCTAAGATATTTGAGAGACAATGGTTAATCAGGTCTTAGTTCAAATGAGAATAAGTCCATACCTTTTCTGTTAATTCTTTTAAAGCTTCTTCCTTTTCACTTGAATGTTCTTTTAATAAAGTTTTACGTAAATCTTCTAATGCTTGTTTATTTTCCTTACAGTTACATCCTTCTTTACAATTAGCTAGAATTTCTCCATTTTCTTTTTCTTCTTTCACTTCTTCTGTTTGAACATGGACTGAATGCACTTTCTGAAAGGGTATTTTCATCAATTTAATGAATCATAGTCCATGGATAGGCAACCCTAAACTGTTTTACTGATTTTTTTGTTCTTTTAGGTCAGTGTTTGGAATTTTTTCCAGATGGAATTTGTAGCACATATACTTAAATTCAAGTTTAGATTTGAGAAGTTTAGAACACCCAAGGCAAGTCTCTATAGGTCAGGATTGGGAAACCTTATGGCCTGCCAGTAATGTTTTTGCGGCCAGTGAGAAGAAAAAAACTAATGTAAAAAAAATGTAAATAGATGGATTTCTAAACGCTTTGTATTTATTGGAACTAAAAACGTGCTCAACATGCGTATCATTACAATCATTTTGCACATTGATGTGACCTTTTAGATGTAACGTAATGACATCGATATTTGTTTGACCATGATGGACATTATGAGAATCGATAATCGAACTCTGTTACTTTGTTAGTACAAATTCCCTTAAGCTTCACTTGTCAGCATTGGTGCGGAACAAGCTATTGAATTCCCTTCATTTTGCAAAACCCATAGTTAGTCGTGAATTTACTTGAGGTTAGTCGTAGTCAGGGATCTGGCAAACCCTGATAAGTTTTATAGCAGCTGTTATATCTAGCTACATTATTGAGGTACAAACATTGAAAGGTACAATTTGAGTAAGCACATATTCTTGATTCTGGAAAACAATATCTAAATCAAAGCGTCGCAGGTTGGAGAGTGAAAATCATATTAAATTATTATTATTATTATTATTAAGTGCGGCCCTGTCAATTTGTCATGTCTCATATCTTGCCCTTTCAGTGAAATTTATTGAATACAGCAAGTCCCATTGGCTCAAATGACTTACAAGTTTGACTGTCTGACAAGCTGTAGTAGACATAGCTACTGGTGGTGTGACAGCTACCTGATCTTCACTAGATGTTACTACCAATGATGATTCTGGTGATGCAGCCTGTAAATATATAAAGATATTACTTTATAAATAATCATCATTATGAATCTACAGCCTATATAGATACTAGTCTATATAACTAACTGGTTGACTGAGTAATGAAGTAGTTAGTTTATCTAATGAGAAGATCTGCTACTGATTAGGTTTGTTGACTGTTTTCTGAAGCCTTCTATGAATCAAGGTGGAAAATACTTGAGATTCTTAGTTTAAATCCTGAATGAAGATAACATAATGTAAGGTATTCTTCTAGTATAATAAATTTTTAGCTGTTTTCAACCAGATCTATAGAATTTCTTTTAATCACAGATGGCCAGTGTAGTAATCAACAGATCCAGTACATTAAAGCAAGTGAGATACAAGAAGGATACAAGCCACTCACCTTTTTGGAATATTTGCGTTTTTTACGAGGTGGTTGAACACTGGTTGATGTAACTTGTTTATCAGTTTCTTCCTCGACTTCCATTGGTTCCTCTTCTTCAAGAGCCTCAACAGCATCTTCTGTACCTTCCCCTTCAGATGCTGAGCTTTCTTCTTCCTTTTCAGATTCTTCTTCTTCTTCTTTCTGATCTGTTGCTATTTCTTCTACCAGTTTCTGATGTATGTGTAATTCTTTCATGGAATTGTTAAAACCTAAAATACATCAACTTATTTTGTTCACAAATCTCTATTAGATAGCTTGCGAGGCAAGGTAACATACGCCCATTGGCAGCTGTCAGAAATGATAAAACAGTCTTTAGTGACTAAAGTACGAATTTTCTCATATTGAAGAAATTTTATTAGTTTGAATTCAATTACATATATATATATGCCAGTTATTTATGCTGAATAATTCCACAAAATTTTTAAAATCAATATCAATAACTCAAATACAACAAACAATTAAATCTTTTGATGCGTGTTTACAAAGTCAGAACTTGTCCGAGATCTTATCAATTCCAATGATCACACCAAGTTTCCTCAAAATCGGTTGAAAACTGTATCTTCTATTGTGCTCACGAACAAATTTTGAAGCGTTTTACAAAGTCAAAGGCAATAACTCCAAAACCGTTCATCGAAAATGCGTCAAGTTAGAACTTGTCCAAGATATTATAAATTCCAATGATCATAACAAGTTTGATCAAAATTGGTTGAAATCTGTAGCTTCTATAGTGCTCACGAACACATTTTAATGCGTTTTTACAAAGTCAAGGGCAATATAACTCAAAATCATTTCAACTAAAATGCGTCAAGTTAGAACTTTTTCGAGATCTTATCATTTCCAATGATCACACCAAGTTTCATCAGAATCGGTTGAAAACTGTAGCTTGTATTGTGCTCACAAACTATTTTTAACAAATTTCGACGCGTTTTAACAAAGTCAAGGGCAATAGCTCAAAAACCGTTCATCGAAAATGCATCAAGTTAGAACTTGTCCGAGATCTTATCAATTCCAATGATCACCCCAAGTTTCATCAGAATCGGTCGAAAACTGTGGGGTCAATGCTGCACACAAACTATTTTTAACAAATTTCCACGCGTTTTAACAAAGTCAAGGGCAATAACTCAAAAACGGACAGGAACGACGACAATATACGACCACATATTCATATGGACGTATGAAAATTACCTGAAAAATTCTAAGAGTGGAATATTTCCCTTGTTATTGTCAAACAAAGCCATTGGATTGTGCATTATCCACTTCATTCAGTGGTAGAATAAATACTATTTGATACTATTTAAGGGTGATCTATATCAAGTTTATAACATGTAATACCAAGTTTTATAAATAAAATAGCGATGCCATTGTAATACGCCCACATTTGTTATGGCAGCTAATTTGGTTAACAAGAGTTATCAGTAAATGAATGTTTCTGAGAATGAAATTTTCATATTTTATGGGTTTTCTTTACAGTTTACAATTCAAGAACAAGGGCAATAACTCATAGTAAATATTTTTCGATTCGTCTGATTTTCAATAGGGCTCATCCTTGGGTGATTACAAACACTCACACCAAGTTGCGTCAAAATCCATCAAGAAACCAGCTCTCTATCGTGTCCACAAACAATTCAAGAACAAGGGCAATAACTCATAGTAAATATTTTTCGATTCGTCTGATTTCAATAGGGTTTATTCTTGGGTGATTACAAACACTCACACCAAGTTTCGTCAAATTCCATCAAGAAACCAGCTTTCTATTGTGTCCACAAACAAACAGACAGAGGCGACGACTATATACGCCCACATTAATATTTGGGCGTATAAAAAGGACTGTTACTGTTAATGTTTTGAATTGTTCCTTGATGTGTACAATGTTTCTGCCATATGAACTATTATTACCTATTAAATAGTCTAACAGAATTCTTAATACAAGATATATAATTAATCTGTGCTGTTCAAAAGAGATGCAAGTTGAAAATGGATACAAGCAGAACATACCGGTGGTCTTTTTAATGTTGAGAGTCTTAATATTAGTTGTTACAGGACGAATATACTCCATAGGTATAACAGCACGTTGATGGAATGCACCAAAAAATCGAACATCACATTTATCACCATAGTTACGTATAATTTTAGCAGGCCAATAACTGTATCCTTTCTGTTTGGCATAAACTAATTCATGAGGTGGATCCTATGTAAGAAAATGTCATTTGTTTATGCTGGAAGTTTAATTTTCATCAATGTTATAATGATATAAAAAGATAGTGGACCACAGCCATATACGCCCACCACGGCATGTGAATGGTAAATATTCAAGATGTTGGGGCAAGGGCAATAACTCTGCTTCTAACAGTCGAAAATAGCTAAAATTCGAACTTGATCTTCGTTTTATGAATTTCATTTGATTCCATCAAAAAATCTTAGAGCGTTTACAAGCAAATGTTGACGGAAGGACCGACAGACCGACGGACCTTCGTTTTATGAATATGTACACACATACCGAATTTCATTTGATTCTATCAAAAAATCTAGTTTTTAGAGCGTCTACAAGCAATTGTTGACAGACGAACGGACTGACGGACGGACAGGGGTGCCGACAATATACTTCCACATAGAGAGATGTGGGCGTATAATGAAAAACACTATGCAATGGGAGAACTTCATATTTTGATTATATTTCCAATTGTTGACTTATTTCAAGCACATGGCACAAGACCTGAGCTTTCTGACCAGCATTCATCAGTGAGAGTGTGGAATCAAGTGGTTCTACTCTGTCTTTCCCTGGATCAAACACTGGAGCTTCAGGTTATCACTGAAACCCTCAATTCTTGTGATGTAATTTTGATGGAATAATTTCAAATAATATCAAGGTAAAAAGAAAACTTACACAAGGTTGACAGAACCAATGTTGTGGTTTAGCATTAGATAAATAATAACAACGATGACACTGTCTAATTTCATCTAAATCATATTTACAATCATGTACCATTATTCTAGATAGTTCTGTTATACCACCTTTTTCATCTATAAAACAGACAACAGAAATAAATAACAATACCAGAAAATATAAAAAAAACCAAATATTTGTGAAATAAATCCTAAAATCATCAAACAAGATGATTTTCTCACATTTTTACCCTTAAAGTTATAACGTGCAGATTTCAAGCTATAATCCCATTTATAAAGTTTCATATATGGCAGATCAAAATTCAACATGAACTCTGGAATAATGCACATGTAAAATTAGGTAAAAATATGTCATATAGTTTCTGTTAATATCTTCAATTATAAATCTATTTCAAAGCAAACATCATCAGCCTAACAAATTGAAAATACTAATTGTCGGTGTAACTAGAAAATGACGTCAGTTTTCCAAAATTTTTCAGGAGAGACAAAAAACTGTTTTGAACCGTGTCCACTGAACAGATTCGAACCATATCTTAAATATGCACTAATTCTCAGCTGTTTAGAAACCTGTTACCCTCCAGAAAACATCCACTAGGAATTACTATTATTACCACAATTACTTCATTATTAACGACAGGTACAGTGAACACATTGATATTGATGGGACAAAACTAGTATAGGGCTACGACGATTCTTGATGTTGCGATTCGATACACTATATGATACTCATCCAACGATATGATTTATTGCGATAACTATTTTGTAACTATTAAGCACTTGAGAACAATTGGAAGTAGTGAAAAAAATCTAAATCTTTAAAGTCAGAAATGAATTTTTGCAAATTTCGATGTGAAAATCATACTTGGAATATTAAAACATGACACAATTAATTGTTATTAAAGGAGGCTAAGAATTAATTCTGCTGATACATCACGATTTTTTTCATCCAACGCAATGCATCGATAAGAAGGATTCATCAGTGAATCGTTGCATCTCTAGACAACTTAGGTACGACTTTTGGTGTTCTTTTTTATCCTCATGATGGAAACCAAGGATTAGTTTCAAGCAATTTGAGATGAGATAGAAATGTTTGTAAAACCTAGGATAATAAAACCTTAATTTTAGATAATGCAATAGACGTACATCAAATAACACCAACTACACCTAATATGGACAAAACGGGTAACCACGCGTTGCAATAAAGTCAAATATTACAATGAACCAGCCCAATGTATCAAAAGGGGGAAAGGGCGCAGTTGCATGTTAGTACAGGTATAACGAAGATAGAGATTAGCATGCTCTTTTTCGATTTCCAACTGTCGAGGGATCTTTAACGTGAACAGCCTGTTGCACACGAGGCCTCAGTTTATTGTCCCATCCGAACGACTAGACGCTTTTTCCATGTCAGCCACTCGTACCTGCATCACTGACGGGGAAACTGGGTTAAAAAAGCTTCTTACTCACTGACCACCACGGCTCCCCGAACAATACAGTGAGAAATCATATAGATAATAGGAATAATTTGAACGTAACGTAAAACTGTAAATTTGACACTAAAACTCCTACTTGACGTCAACATCATTGACGACTTAAGAAGTTATTCTGTTTAAATTTAGCTCTATCGACGATAAAATATTAAATGGTTATAGCTCAGAAACTTATCACCACAGGCTTACAAAAATTTGACACAATGTGTGTTGCCTTATAATAGACTGATTAATTCAAAAATTTAATTTTTGAAACTTTTCGACTTATGACCTTTTCATGTGACACCAACGTAATATGTAAAGAGAACTTACCACCATATAATATATGAACAGCATGTAATATAGTTTGAGCATCAGCCTGAAACTGTTCTAGGCACTTGTATTTATGACGAGAAACTTTCTGTTCCATCATATTTAAATCCATAGTTTTATAAATAAACCTATCAAATATCAGATCATGATTCTCTTCACGGAAACCTATTTTATGGAGTTCACGGGTCTGAAAATATATATTTTATGAATGTTACCCACACATCCACATCAGCAAAAATTGTACAGTTTTCACAGATTTGAGCCAACAATTTTTTTGACCTACAAAAAAAGCGGAATGCCCCTTCAAAATAACTTATTAAGCTTTGTTTTGTTTGAATCACGTTTCTAATTCTGTAAAGTGATATGCAACAAGATGACACTTAATCTTAATTTCTTTACATACTTATCAAAATGTCTACATACCTTTTCTTTCAATCTCATTACTGTATAACTTAATAATGTATTTAACATCTTTCTTTTTAACTGGTTCTTAGTTTTACCACTCTTAAAAATATACAATTTTAATCATCAGTCAATGAAAGAAAAACATTCTCTAATGAAAATTCCTGTTGAATATTAATAAGTACCACTAGAGTGAAATCTATTATAGTGTACCGTACCCTTGTTTAACACATTAGAATAATGGAGTCAAGTTATGTCACACTGTATGTAGTGAAAGAAATATTATGTTTTAAAATTAGTACAATTTAACAAAAACAAACTTTCATCATGCAACTACATCATTGAAAAACTTGAAGAAATCAGAAGAAGAATAAGTTGTAGAAATAGCTAAAGTTTCTGATTTATGAAAATAATTTTTAATATTTCAAAGATACACATATTATCAAATACAAAACTAACTCTATGTAATACAATAAAATATAGGATACACACAGAACAATAAATTTGATAATATTGAATTTACTTAATTCATCAATTCAGGGTAGAACAGTAACATCTCAAGCTTATAAGCAGCACAAAGCGAGCAGTCCTGTATGAAAATGCTGTAAGAGGACAGTGTATTGCTATACAGTATGAACCCTAGGTTCTTATTAACACTATTTTTCTCAATAGAGACATAACCCTTAAATGAAGTCTTCATGCCTATCCTCCCTCATAATGTTACATTAGCACATAGCTGAATGAAATATACAGACTTTTGAAATAGAGAGAAAGCAATCACACTATGTATGTTGATTTCCACCTGAGGACTTGACCAGTAAGCCAGCAAGCACTTAACTTACTGAGGAACCATAATTGCTTATTAGTAATAATTGGTTTACTAATACTATACACATCATATTATATCGAAATAAAGCTAAAACTAAATATATCTCATGCAAACTGAGACAATGACCACAAAATATAACAAAATTACCTTTATATCCTGAAGAACATTAAAAGTAAAAAAAAAATAAATTCAGATTTTTTAAAAAACATAATTTGTGAATTTGTTTACTCTGGATTATGCTCAGTTCACACCAACGGGGCTTTGATGGCGCTTTAAAGCGGCGTTCAAAGCGGTACCAAAGCGTAACAAAGCTCGACTAAAGCGCCAGGGTCGTAATAGATCGTTGGAAGGCTTTGAGCAAAGCTGGATATTCGGCAAGAGCGCCAATATTTTTTAAACTGTTTAAAAATTTTGGGCGCTTTGTCACAAATTGATTAGAGCGCCGAGATTGTATCAAAGCGTAACAAAGTTCAGCAAAGCTTGACTCAGAGCGTAGCAAAGCTTAACAGAGCTTTATTCAAAGCGGGGACCCCAGTCTTCACAGTCTGTCACCACTTGATCAAGAGCGGCATGAAATCGGCCATTTCGAAATTTTCCAATGCGTAACAGAGCTTAACAATGCACAACAGAGCTTGATAATCGTATCAGAGCGTGATTTAAAGCATCATAACCGCATCAAAGCTTAATAAAGCTTATCAAAGCGTGATTTAAAGCGTAACAAGGCCTGATCAAATCAGGAAATAATTCGTCCCCAAAGCGTAACGAATTCGTATCAGAGCTTATCAGAGTGTAACATTACTTAGGAGATCGTGATATTTTTTGAAAAGTAAACAAAAAATGATGGCGCTTTGCTCGCCGATTTAAAGCGCGACATTCGCCGTTGATGTGAACTAGGCATTAACAAATAAAACACACCCTATGATTCCAAAATTTCACCAAAAACTCCATTTGAACTGTAGTCTATTAGTTATGTGTTCAAATACAAATACAGTAATATAATATAACAAAAAAGTTAGGATAGTTGATTTGATTTTAAGCTGTTGTTAAACATGAGACATGATAATCAAATCTTAACAAAGCAAGAATGATGATTGTTAATCAACGATGTGTATAAAAGGTCTTCAAGTTGACAGTATTATCAAGTGAAGTACCGGTACTAAAAATAGGAAAAGCTGTAAAATATATGAGACTTTTACAGGAGAGAAAATAATCCTAATAGCTGAAGCAACATGCCTGCTAGATCATACACAGCTTGTTACGAAAGAGGATATAGGTGTCTCTAGATCACTGACAGAATTATGTTAACTAAAGGTTAAACTACCTGATTAGCAAGCGTTAAAGATTTTCTTCCTTAAAAGGAGGTAGAAAGAGATTAATGCTTACCTTACAGATATAACAAACAAAAGACGAGTCATCTGTTTCACTGTCAACACAATCTGTATGAAATACTCTCCAACACTCTTCACATTCTAATATCTCTCCTGATTTATGACATTCAAAACAATACCAATCATGACCATCATCCTGAAGATTATATTACAGTGGAACCTCATTTATCCGGTTGCCGATAATTCGGAAACCCCGATATCCGCACGCTTTTTACCGGGAACGGAATATTTACTTTGTAAAATTACCCGCTAATCCGGTGCTCCGGTTCCGCACGGCTGTGATTGGGAACCAATTATCAAATTCTATACTAATTAATATTCACCTACCGGTCGTGTGTCAATGTGAGATCTTTTAACGGGCTTCCGGATTAGCGGTATCTATGATGTCGTGTGATTGGTGTTTAATAAATCCTCATTGTGAGATTAAGCAATTACTTTACTGATAACATACAAGCTATCCATTTGATATAACGCTTCAAAGTTACCGCACGTGAGAAAAGGGAAATTTGTGTTTATAAGTTATCGAATCCAAAGGCAAGCTTGGATTCCATAAGTCAACATGTACAAATTTAATTTGGTCACAAGATCGGCAAGTTTACTTTTGGTGACATTTTAAGTAATAAGATTCGTCTTCGTTGTCTCATGCTTGTCATGCCAAGAATGAAAAGCTCGAAGAAGCGATCTATTTGTGGCTTTGTGATATGAACATTAGAAATGTGGCAGTTAGCGATATGATGCTCATTGAAAAGGCTAAAGCTATTGGTACTAATTTAACTGTGACTGATTTTGCTTACTCTCGTGGTTGGCTTGCCTGTTTTAAATCCCGTCATGCCATTTGTAAGCGAATTTTCGAAGGTGAAGCAGCAAGTGCGGATAAAACGGCAGTTATCAAAGGCCGAGAGGACTTAAAATCTGTGTTAAAGGATTACCCCGAGGAAGATATTTTTAATATTGACGAAACTGTATTATTTTTCAAGTTAGGCCCTACCTATACGCTTGTGTCAAAATCTGTGTCTGGTGTGAATAACAGTTGCGCTATGGAACAATGAAAATTAAACCCTTCGTTATTGGCAGGGCTCGGAGACCGTGTTGTTTCGGAAAGGACTTTAATCCCGAGTTGTATGTACCGATTCAACACAAAGGCGTGGATGACCTCTGAATTGTTTAATGATTGGATTACCTCAACATGGATTCTGATGAGATTACGGGTGATGTTTTGACCGACGACGACATCGTGCAATTAGTCGAGAAATGTGATGTTTCTGAGGACGAAGTCGAGGAAGATGCAAACGAACAAGCATGTTCGGGCATTACTTCCTTACAGGCCTGAAGTCATCTAGACAATTTGCTCACATTTTTTGAAAATGACAATGATATGGATAATGTAAATGTAATCTCTTCTGTGATTAGGGAAGTCAAACTACCATTGTTGACTATTTTCATAAGTAAATGTTGTATTATGTTGATGGTGATGCATATGTTATAATTAATAAATTATTATTATAAACAGTCGGGTTTTGTTTTACACGTATATGAGTCTACCACCTGTTGTGTATGTGATATTCGTCACGTGTCGAAATTGGAAGGGAAATAACTCTAATTATGACCAGAAGGGGATGTTTCAACTATCCGGAAATTCGTTAAACCGCACGATTTTATCGGGAACAGGAATGAGCGGATAAACGAGGTTCCACTGTATATAATAATATATAATGACATGGTGTGTTAAAAAGGCAAACAGATATACTTCACAAAGATTATGCAGGTTTCAAAGTCTATCTGGTATCAGCTTAAGCTTATGGTACCATAATATTCATAATTTTATAGATGCCTTCAATTAATTAAAGAAAGAAGTCTATTTAAGGACTAATGCTGTATTTGTTACCCCTGGGAAATACAACTTCCAAGAGGGTAAATAACATTTGTTACTTCAAAGTATGCTTGGAAGTCATGCTTTCTACATATTTGTGTTGTGCAATCAATCAGAGTTATATAATAGACATATGATATAATCATCATCAGCAAATAAAGCATATTTCTCTCTAGAGCGCATTCGGTTGTATTAATTTTTCAAATGTGTACCACATAGAATCAAGTGATAATTACAACTTCCTAGTAGGAAACTTCCCACTTCCCAGATGTAACAAACACAGCAAATGCTGTATCAAACTGCTTCAGAACCTTCATAAGTTTCCCTGATTTTTAACCTAAGTTTTTATAATATCATACCAGTTCTGTATCTTCTAACTGTGGTATTTTAAATCCTTCTTGTTCAATTCCAGTTTTAGATCCCTTGGAACCTGAAATAGACAAAAACATAGATACTGTGCCAATAGTAACACTTATGTTTTAGGTCAATAAGAATTCAGTGAATTCCTCAGATCTTAGAAAATGAGCTACCCTCAGAAAAAATATGAAACAAAACAAAATTTACTATGTGGTACTAAATTAATAAGATCAGAAATAAGAGAATTTGTATCGGGCTTATTATGGGTCACAAACCTAGATAAAAAAAAGTTTTAGATAAAGGTTCTTAAAAGTTTAACATACCAATAGCTGTGTATGAAATAATTAAGCCATCTTTAACAGCTAGATTGAGTTGTTTTTGTGTCTCTGATTCTGTCACGTCATGTTCTCTTAACATATAACTAGAAATTCTCTTTAAATTAGGTATTTGTTTCTGTTGACGAACATAAACTATGGCAGATATCAACTGTTTGGCTCTAGTACTGGATGAACTTCTTCTTTTAACTGGACTAACCATTCTGATTCTTCATATAACTGTCTAAAATGCAATACAATATTTTATATATACAAGACTTGTACATAGATTAGTCAGATGACCAAATAGATGCTTAGGAGGCTAGGCATACCATACATATTATGCATGACTACAATGCGAAAATAATATTTGGTGAGACTAAGAAATGTATTACCGGTACTCTTAACAGGTTGTAAGTAATAACAACTTGTCCGTACCATTTCAAACATGGTTTTGAACTTAAAATAAGAACAATTCTGCTTCACTATATTAGTACTATCTGACTACATAGAGCTTGAATTGAATTTTTCTCTAATTTCATAAATATTCAAAATAAAATTTTTAACTGTAAGCTTAAGCTTATACCATTTGTCTTAGAATGTTTTTGGGTCCACAGAAATTTAAGGTTCAGTGATTTTACATTTGAAATAGAAACACTTCCCTCCCACAAAATGACCTAGTTTTCAGTACGAAAAATCCTCTCTCTGTAAAATAATGTTACAAATAATTTGTCCACTGGTTGAGATTTTCATCAAGCTTCGATAGTATTTTGTAATTGATATTTCTATTCAGAAGAAAATGATTGCCAAAATTCAATTCAAAAACAGTGTAGGTCAAGAGAGTAGGTCAATCTGGAACTCAGAATAAGAATTATTTTTTAGAGAGGGAGCAGTGATCCCTCTCACTACCAGTCTCTGGCTTGGTCTCTTTCTCTTACATGAGTATGCTCTAATAATGAGAAACATTCGACTGAACGCTTACACAACTATTTACATTGAATGAACTTTTATATAGGGATTATAAAGCACTGATCAGTAAATGCATAACAAATTTTGTTTTCATACAGCTTCCAAAGAATAAGATCCAACTTCAACCAAGAATGGCAAGGCATTTCAACAACTTTATCAATCAATTGACATGATTTGCAGAATTTGTAGAGGTGATTATGTTGCATCTTTACAAGCCATACATTTACCTAAATGTGCTGATGTTTGATGAGCAAAATATTCTTGTATCAGAGCGTAAATGAGTTCATGAAGCATGCAATATTCATTAATTTCTCAATTTTCTTCGAATGAAAACAAGCCAAAATGGACGATGATGTGCACTACGTTAATCACAATTAATGTGACGTCACAAATCTCTAAGGAAGGAGCGCAAAGCGTGATGACGTAGTTCACATCGGAAATCTGATAAGAAACAAACACCTGCCAAATTTTGTAAATATTGGTAATTTTCTGTGAACATTTGACTAAACCCCCCTGATTGCGACATTCCATTATATTGTAAAAGTGTATGAAAATGCCACGGATTGTGGAATGTGTACCAAATTTTTCTGAAGGCAGAAATAAGGAGGTAAGTCAACTGTCATTGCAAAATGCCTTCTCCACTCCCATGGCTATGGCCCATGGTTATGTCTGTGTGTCTGTAGTTAGCTGTAGTTTTGTTGATTGTAACTGAGTGGGTGATCCGTAATAAGCATACTATTGATTAATTAGGGAATTTATTTAATTTAATTTAAATTTAAAATGGAAGAGATTCCAATACCCACGAATGCAGACTTGGCCTCAATCAGCCTGCTGTCTGTGAAGTAGGCCTGCAGTAGGCTTTTTCACTAGTTTTTTACAAATTCATTGAAAAATTTGTAAATATTTTAAAAGCGAGAATCAGATTTAATTCCAGCATGTAAAATTGAGGTTTAAATGCTATGATAGAATGCAGGTTTAAGTATTTCTCACTCCAAGTCACAAAAACTTTTAGAAAAAAAGACTGTCTGTGAATTTGAATATCAGCTTTAAAACAGTGATATGAATGGTGGTCTTTGATTTCTCAATGAATGTTGGAAGACTTCTTAGAGATAAGTTTATCCTACTAATTAGAATACTTTGTAATGTGGAATGATTGGTAATGCCCAAAATCTATAAACTATAAACTATTTTATGTCCTGAAGGTTTTAAATTATATTTATTTATATTTAATGATCAATATTAATTAGTTGTTTCTTATATAATGATTGATAATGATTAGCCCTGAAAAAAGTTCAGATAGATTTGATTTGAAGACTTTAAATTTTAGATTGCTTGGTTACTTACAATGCACAATTGGCTAAGCTTATAGTTCTAATCATGGTTAGAGACTGTCATTAGGTCACCATTTCTCACTATTCTAGTTGACACATCTGTAAATGGGTACAGATAATCTGGGAATAATCAATGCCCACAGCCAGAGTGTCCCCTTTCACACATAATTAGTATTGTATTTTTCAAAATAAATTTCCACACTTGTTGCAGCAAATGATTTTTGAGGAATAAAGTCATAGAAAGGATCCTTCATCTAGGTTCTTTCAATTTCAACAAAATGTAATGTATTGCCCTTAAAGCTTGTAGCTATGTTCCACCAGTATTAATGTTCAAACTGTTGATTTGAGAACATATAAACTGTGTAAATCATGACTGTAATCAACTAACTGATAAGATGGACTAGATTAGTCTAACTATTGAGGAACATTATTTCAAATATCTAGATAACCTATCTTTATAGATAATATAATCACCCTACTGCACCTTGCTACCTAGTTAGAAATTAATTAAACATAACTTATCTATCTAAATCAAGTTTAAATTTATTTTAATCTTTTCTTGGCATGACTACAGTTTTTAGAATATGGCTTATTTTGATTCTGTTTAAATATTTTGAAGGTTGTTTGAGACAAATATTGTTTTCATGCCAAACAACAGTGAAATAACATAGTTCAGCTTTGCAGTTGCTTTCTATTGAAAGAAAATGTTGTTGTTGTGTTGCTAGGAAGCTAAGACTTTATGTTAGAGACTGACGTTGAGATTTATAATGTTTCTCTTGAATTTATTGATCCTATTGATTTTGTATTAGAATTAAAGTTCTATGAACTGTATTCTGTCCATTGTAACACCTTCTATTCAATTAGGCTTTCGATTGAAATGGAATTACAGTGTATAGTTCTTCTGTTATCATAGCTTGATAAAGACAAAAGTACTCTCGTCGAAGCATCACAAGTTATTTATTAAAGTAATTGTCATCCATAAAATTGTGTTCAGTTATGTTCTGAAAATATTTTATTTCGCCACATTGGTATTTATGTACGGAGAGTTGAGAAAATAAAGAATCACGAGTTCTTGATACAGGGCCTATCTATCTCAAAACTAATCATATTTTACATCATTTAAATCAAATAAATGATATTTTCATATAAAGGTTACCTTCACACATTTCTGAGAAAGGGCAATTTTCTCAGGTACTGTTGATCAGGTTTTTAGAGATGTCACAAGGGGTGTTCCTTCATATGATGTCGCCATATTTTCAATAGATGATGCAATTTTCGTCATTAGCCTCACAATGGATAGTTCCAAAACAAGGTGTATATATAAAGTTTATTGTTACTATATTAAATGAATTGTAATATTACTGAGTACTAAAACTAAGATAGATATTAACTGAGTCAATCATAAATTTGAAAAGGCCATTTTATTATATACATATACTGGTATTTCTTGAAACCCTCATACTCTAAGTGGGATATCCACTTTTCATTTTATCTCTTTCCTGTCAGAAATATCTACAAATCAACCAAACTATTACTGGTATCTCTATTCACATCACTTAATTTCCAATATCATATTCTTTAACATAAAGATTATGTTTTGATTATAAATAAATTTTTTTTATAAAATATTACATGTAACTAGACTAACATTGTCATGGGCTTTAAAGATTACACAAAACTCCCCCAATCTGAACTGCTTACTGTTACCTCATCCCAGTCCCAGATGGCAGCTTTCAACTTGATTAAAATGTATCATGTTTTGAAATCACTATATTCTCAGGTTGTTTTGAGGACATTTTTTAAAACATGTTTATCATGATATTGGTATATCTAGGTTTATAACATACAGTTTTTCAGACTGAATCCAAGACAATGTTAAATAGATTCATTACATTATATGATATATTATAGGTAATTGAAGCAATAGCTAGTGCCATAGCCTCTACCGAAGGATGTAGTCTGTTAGATGTAGATCCTGGTATATCAACTAATCGTACAGTATATACATTTGTTGGTAGTCCAGGAGCTGTAATAGAAGGAGCCCTGAATGCAGCTAGAGCTGGTTATCATTTGATTGATATGAGACAACATCAAGGTGGGCTATGTGATATCTTCCAATGACCTGATCTACACTAACCCTATCATACCTCTTCAAAAAACTTTAAATTTAACAGAAAAGGCATTGAATTTGGTCTTGGCATTTCTTGTAGAGTTAGTATTTTTTTAGTTATCAGTTATGTTGACACTTGCAATGTTATTTTTAAAATGTTTTTTTTGTAGGTGAACATCCTCGTATGGGTGCTCTAGATGTATGTCCATTTATACCAGTTCAGGATGTGAGTATGGAGGAATGTGTTGAATGTGCTAAGGAGTTTGGTGATAGATTAACTACAGAATTAGGAGTCCCTTGTGAGTGTTCAAAAAAATTATCTGACATAACTGCTCCCCATAACATAGCCACAAACTTTGGTCTTACCCATGCATTTTTGAAGACAATTTTGTGATATCATCATATTGTTTTTGGAGCTCTTTGTGAACAATTGAGGATAGCAAGTTTTTGATAATTTCGCCGTGTAAAAAATGAAATTTGTCATGACTTCTTATATCAGTACAATAATCATTCATATTTATAAACTTATTGTATTTCAGTATATCTATATGGTGAAGCTGCTAAAGACAATGCTGAACATAGACAATCTTTACCTCAAGTTAGAGCTGGGGAATATGAAGGGCTACCAGAAAAGGTAATTTACTTAGAAATTAACCATCAAATACAAACTACTTCACTAGTTCAGTCAGAAATGTATTAATCTACATATTTAGATAGTATCTAGATTTTGTGTATTGTTTTTAAAGGAACACCATTGAAAGGATTGGCCTGAACCACAAAACATTAACTCCTCTAATTGTTTAGTGTGCTGTAAACTGTGCCAGATAAGGATCACCCCCTTATGGAAAGTTGCTTTTGCTGCTATCCTGGTAAAAATCACCACATCATGGTATTATACTGCAGGTCTTTATGAGTCAAATATGGAGCTGGAATCAGTTACATTTGTCTTTGTTAAAAATATTGAAATATTGACCTGGTTTCTTTTAGCTACGCCAAGACATGTGGAAACCTGATTTTGGATCAGCAGAGTTTGTGCCATCATGGGGAGCCACTGCTGTTGGTGCCAGAAAGTTTTTGATAGCCTACAATGTTAATTTATTAGCAACTAAAGAACAGGCTCACAGAATAGCTCTTAATTTACGAGAACAGGGTCGCAGTAAAGAGGAGGTAACTGTATATCTATAAATCTTCTTATCTTACTTGTGGACAAGTTTACATTCACTATGAAATGTCTTCCAGATAGAAAGCTGTTGACTGACCACCTGACTATATTGTTATTCTATAATACTGTGATTGGTTATACAGAAATATAATGTATATCTGTCATTTGGAGACTTGTTATAATAGCCCTATCCTTAAGTTCAGTTTTGCAAGTTGCTTCATATATGTCAAATATGGTCTTTGGCCCTGCATGAAAACATCTAATTTAAGATTCAGTTATGAAGCTCTGTTATCGTAATCATTCAATCTGCCAGCTTACCCTATGTAATCATTCCACTGTCGCCTTAGGGGTTCATTGTTCAAATTGCTTAACTTATTTGAAACATTGTAGCCAGGTAGATTAAAGAAGCTACAAGCTATTGGATGGTATATGGAAGAAGCTAACTTAGCTCAAGTATCAATGAATCTACAAGATCATGAAGTTACACCTTTACATGTAGCTTATGAAGAATGTTGTAAAGATGCTGAGGTGGGTTTTTTTTCCTCGTGTAGATTAGTTACGTTTAAGGAGAAATTGCTTTCTTTGAATGTTGTTGGAAATCGAGTCAGATTTATAAATCAATATGATCTATTCAAACATTGGTATACAGAATTTTCAGAATCAAAATACTATAATTTCTGGATTTCCTTTCAGCTTCGAGGTACATGTATATTTTAAACAAATGTGGGAATGTGTGATAGTTAAATTTTGTTATTACTAGTTAATATTGTACTGACACCAAAAGACAATAAATAAAAGTCAATATAGCCCTGTTCGTTTGTATTAAAACTCACTTTACCTTATTAACAATATTTACAGGAGTTAAATCTAGCTACAGTAGGTAGTCAGATTGTAGGACTAGTACCACTACAGGCTATGTTAGTTACAGCTCAATATTTTATTGATAAAGAAAAACTCTTTATTCTAGAAGAGGATCAAAAACTTAGGCTGGTAAGCTAATGATTATTAAACTCTCATAAATCATCAAGAACCTCAGATAATAACATATATATATGTCTATCAATGAGCTGGTGATTGTTTATATGATGGGTGTAATTTTCATTTAATGTATCAAGTACATGCAGCTGAAATAATTATAGAGGGACATAAAAAAAAAGCATCTAATGATAATGTGTTATTAAACAGACTAGTGATTTTATCTCATTGAAAATAGTAAATTCATTGGTTCATTTTGTTCTTGCTGAATGCTCTATTACTAATAGTACCAATTATCATTTCATGTTATTCTTTAGGTAATAATGAGACTGGGGTTAAATTCTATTGGTAGTTTTAACCCTAAAGAGAGAATTATAGAGTAAGTATCTTTAAGAAGTGATGATTTGTTAATGTTTTGAAGTGTCTTGAATTGTAATGTCTATATCTAACCAGTGAAAACTGCTGTGATATAAACATTATATATATATCTTACCCATAGCTGTTATAAATCTATTTTTATATTAATGTAATCTTAAATGGGGACATTTTCATCTATGAGCTCAATTTAAGCTATCTGCACCACTTTTTGAATGGTCAGATTGTAATGACAGTTTCAACTTCCATTCTCATATGCAGGATACTATTATTAAAAGTCATATAGTGAGGCTAGTCACACAAATAATTTGTAACTTCATCTCTGTCAAGATTTTTTTGCGTTTTTGTGTGATGTGATGTTGATATTAAGATTTTTTAATGTCATCAAATGTTTATTATTTTCTATGTAGATATATGGTACAGAATGATACTGATGGACCACTAGTCAGTATGGAGGTTAAAGATTTTATATTAACTGTGGGGTCAAGGTCACCAACACCAGGTGGAGGTTCTGTAGCGGCCATGTCTGCTGCTCTGGTAAGTTGATTGTTGTAACAAGTTCTCCCAGAGATCAAGTTATGCTTTTCAAATGTGTGTCCATAAACAATACCAGGACAGCTTGTTTGAAAATGGGGTTAGATTTCTATTATTTGAAAAAGTTAATTCACTGAATATGAAATCATCATTAGGCTTTCCAAACTAGTACAGGTTATTTTATGGGGTCAATCAATTGGTGAGTTCTCAAAATTTGAATGTGATTAATTCGGTTTCTGTACAGCTCGATGAAGGGTAGAAGTGAGCGCCACCTGTATCAATATTTGATGTTTAATATTAGTGGAGCCTGGTCCAAGTGGACAATGATACAAGCTATCCTTGTGTTCAGAGAGTGTTTTATTCACCTGATTTTTCAGGGAGCAGCATTAGGTGCTATGGTAGGATTCCTGACTTATGGTAATAAAAAATTTGCTGATCTGGACAGTAAAATGAGAAAACTAATCCCTCCATTATATAAAGGAATGAAAGATTTATCTCCCTTTATTGATGCAGACGCAGCAGCATTTAGTGAATATATGGTAAGTTAATGCATTTTGTATTATATTTCACACCGAGCTAGTTTATATATATTAGGTTGTATTATAAGTGGGCTAGACTTAGAGTGTACAGATATTTCATCCATGTATTGATTTGAATCTTTAAATCTGTTTAGCTACCTTCGTGTCAAATATTCTCAAAAAATAATTATTTTTTCATGTTGTGAAGATTTTTTATTTTGTTACTACTACAGTCAAGTAACCTTATTTCGTGCTAACCGCTAACCTATTTTTCGTGCATTTCCGGAAATGATTAATAATTTACATGTGCGACCTCGTGTGACCTCCGCATTTGTTTGTTTTGATAAACATGGGTTATATCTACAATATCAGCTAGTAAAATGAATCCAGTAGTTTCAAGCAAGGTAAAATGTATTAATGTATACTTTGACAAATACAAAATGGCAGATTTCACTTATTACCAAACGTCATCATTTTTTATCGGCCGAATTTCCTTATAATCCCAAGCGGTAATCGGAATTCCAAGTGTTGTCTGCTAGAATGTAGTCCAACGAATGAAGTCACGTGATCAACTAGCTGATTCCGTGTTAGCGGAAAATTTTTATGGAACACAAAGTGGGACATATTCTTATGTTATTTCAGTGACTTTTAGCAATAAATCACGCTACGTATCTTATTTTGTCAGTCACTGTTTTTTTTTAAAGCGTGGTTCTTTGAAGTAATTGTCACTAGTTATAATGAATTGATATTAAAGATAAATACTAAGAGAAGTTAATTATACCACCCAGTATCCATATGTGTTTTTCTAGACTCATTTATAGATCAAACATTGTACACGAAAATAGGTGACGCATTCTGACGCCGTTGCCGAGTTGGTTGCTAATGAAATATGGGTCAGTGAAGGTTTCATAAAGAAAGTTGAAACAAACCAATTTTAATTATTTTGTAGAATATCTGGGGAAACATCTAAGACATAAGAAAAAAAATTTGTTTTTTAACTTTGATGAAATTCGGTGTTGAATCCTTATATCCACGAAAATAGGTTACACCACTGTATATTTAGACACTATAACAGTGTTTCTGTTAAAATATTATTTTTGTTATTCTTGCAGTTTTATTCTGAGGTCTGTATATCAATTGATTAGAACACATCTTTAGTTTGCTTTCTATATGTACCTAATAACAGAATTTCTAGCTCTGAAATAGTTTAGATATGTTGGTAGATTTAGCCTCACAGATTTTAGTTACAAATCTTTATACATTGACCAGACTATGACAAGATCTTCATGTTTAGATCCTGATGATCTTGTTTTTTTAATATTCCTTGTTTTGTTTTTTTCTTTTATTCAAATTAGATTTAGAATTTTTGTCAGCTTGTTATTTGTTTGAAATAATCTTTGCACTTGTGATGTAATGTGAAAACCTAGTGTTAATATGTTCATTTCAAATATATTGAGTAGAGTAGAAATAAAAATAGAGTTATATTCTAACTTAATATGATCAGCTAATGTGAACATATTATTGTAGAGAGCTCCTTCAATGAGAAATATACCTTCTTATTCTTATGAACTTAAAAGGACAGTTGAAATTATAGAGATTGAAATGAAATTTTCTAGAGTATGTATTTTAGAGATACTGATTGCTTCAAAGAGCACAGTTAACATGTCCAGTCTGTGATTTGTATGATTCAACTGAAAATGATTGAAGGTTATGATGTGGCTATCATACACTGTCTACAGTAAACATCATTCAAACTATTGGTCATGATGGTGAAGTCATAATTTTATCAAGATTTCATGGAAAATCTGAATGGTGCATAAAGATAGATAAGATCCTAATTTCATAATAATAGGTCAGAATACAAAACAGAAAAACTAAAACTGAATATTACTAAACTAATGTAAACAGGATATATTGACAGGTATAATTATATTCAAACATCATTGTACAAGTTAATTTTAATTGGTAATGATTGTATTTTTATTACAGTTAGCATTAAAATTACCACATACAAATGAAGAAGAAAAGAAAGTGTAAGTTTTTAAATTTGTATCTTTAACATGAAGATTAGAAGTAACATAGAATAGCAATGTAATATTCCTGAAGGGAAATTACTGTAAAAATCTTGAAAATCTAAAAAACTAAAGAGAAATAACCATGTAAAACCTAGATGACTAAAAGCAAATCCATGTAAAACTTTGAAGACTAAAGCGACATAGCCATGTAAAACTTTTAAGATTAAAGCGTATTAGCCAAATAAAACTTTTAAGATTAAAGGGAAATAGCCATGTAAAACTTTGAAGACTAAAGCGTATTAGCCATGTCATTAGCTCTCACAGAAAGTGATTATTATTTTGAAATGATGCTTACAGAAGACAGACGGCTCTACAACAAGGATTAAGTACAGCTGTTAAAGTACCACTCTGTGTAGCTAAAATTGTGACATCACTATGGCAACCATTAAAAGAATTAGCTGAGATTGGTAACATCAACTGTAAATCAGATTTACAGGTAAGAGTTTTGAGGTTCTTGGGATACCAGATGTTAAATCAAACAGTTTCAACTTGAAGAATATTGCTTCCAGAGATCTACTTTATGATTTAAATCATGATGTAATATAGAGAGTTTGTTAAAGCCAAAATTTGTAAGAATCCTGCAATTCCTTTCACTTGTATCTGTAAGTGTGTTGTTCATTATATACAGGTTGGTGTGAGACAATTAGAAACTGCTGTTTGGGGAACCTATTATAATATAGCTACTAATATGGCAGAAATCACAGATGAAGACTTTAAAGCAAAGGTAAATAATATATCTTTTTGAGTGGAACTGTGTAAGTAGTGCAGCTCCAAAGTTTCTTTTAATTTTAACAGCTGTTACTGCTGGTTTGGTAACAAGTAAGGTGTAGGTCTTAAAAAGTCTATTTGTTGGAGTAGGATGTAGTAAGATTTTGATGTATAGCCTCAATTTTTATAAACCTACTGAAAGAGCTTGTTCAATTATATTGAGATCAATTAATTTTCGTACTTTTGCAATCTGTATCAATAACTAACCTTTGTTTTAGACTCAAGCTGAAATTGATGAAGCTTTAAAAATAGCTCAAGAAAACTGTGCGGCAATTTTGAAGATACTGGATGAAAGAGCATAATTGCTGATTGTGCTGATTGTCCAGCAATACAAAATGACTGCTTTGTTTGTATCTTATTAAGTGTTAAAAGTTGAAGCTTGGCTGTTTTATCTCAATATTTTTTGACAATGTTTTATGTTTTTACGCTCAATATTTTATCAGGTCGTTATATTTTAATCTGAAATTCCAGTGGGATTGTTTGTCAACTGTTTGATATTTAAAATGATTATTAGGAGGAGAAGTGAGGTTTTTTGGTTTGAAAGGTAGTGCTATGCACAGTTTTGAAAACATTTGGTTGATTTAAAGTTTTGTCTGGACCTCTAATGTGTACATATATATCTTTGCTCATCTGTAAATTGGAAAGTCGTTGGATTGTTACAGATATGAAATGAAGCTGATAGTACCATTATATTATATTATTTCCTTTATTTTATTGTCATAATTATGTTATTTTATTCAATGAGCTGTTTTACAATTTTTTCAAGAGATAATATTAGTACAGTGTAGTCAAAGTCAATATTAAAAAGGGTAAATTATTAGTTACATACTGAGAGATGTACTGTCTAGATCAAATTTTAACCAAATTTCTAAAAACACTTATCATAACTTCTACTCTTGAGAACTTGTATTTAAAGAGAGAGATATAAAGAACATTGAAGACTGTGATCTAAAGAAATAAATCTTATATCTCATCCTCTATGGTTGAGTTATCTAAGATTTCTATATATAAAAGAGTTTCAGACTATACTGTCTATGAGGAATATGGCTGATGCTGTTAATATATTTGACCATTCTTGCTACTAATAGAATACAGTACCTCTTTTCATAAAATATATCTATATTGTGTAATGTGTAGTGTTTCAGTCAAGTCAGTGTTTATCTTAGTCAGTTTAATTCTAGTTTTTAGTCCCATATTACGTATATATTGTATATTTTACAGTCTGTTGCAGGTTATTTAATAATATTGATCAGCATTCTTAGATGTTAGAGGTGAATTTTATATAGATTGAATACAGAGTGACTAAATAATGATATACCTTCATTAAAATCTAGTCAGTTTTATTTAAAAGGGTAATCATAGATTCACACAAGACAATTTAGTTCTTTTTGTCATGTATACTTGAAAAATTTAGTAGTACCATATTTATATAAATCTTTCTATATGGGTGGTACTTGTACATAATTAAATACATTTTGTTCCTGTTTGTGATTTTACTGGGTACATATCAGAATTGATTTTGAGTCGATCTCTGTAAGTTGTTTAAAACTAACATACTTATTTAATGTGAAACTGTTTTCTGGCAGGGCATAATGAAATAAACATACCAAATCAATATAACTTATAATCTTATATTTTATCACCTTTATTATATTTATAATTATTTAAAAGTTTATATTTAATGAAATATAATCTGTAGAGCTTAGAGCTGTGTCAGATACAATTCACTGTTCTTCAAATATTTGTGAACTATGGTAGTCACAAGTGTGTACCATTTGTACATGATTTGCACTGCCAATCAAGTGGTGCTGTGTTGTACCAGACACTCTGTGGCAGCCTTGATTAAGTTAAGAAGTACAGGACACAATTGTGTTGCTTGAATAATTGATTTAAATTGTACAAATATAATCATTTAGTATATCAATATGCAATATTTAAAGTTCTATGTTGAAAGTTGAATGTAATGTGATTTTGCAATTTTTAAGATTCATTGTAGTTTGAGTTTACCATTGTGCAATTTCAATACACATTCCATAAATATAACTGTACAATAAGTAATTATTTCAATTGATAGTCATTGTTTGGTCATTAATAGTAATTGTTTGTTATTGATAAAAATGTTTGTTATATATAGCAATCTTTGCTGTTATTGATAAAAATGTTTGTTATATATAGCATTCGTTGCTGTTATTGATAAAAATGTTTGTTATATATAGCATTCGTTGCTGTTATTGATAAAAATGTTTGTTATATATAGCATTCGTTGCTGTTATTGATAAAAATGTTTTTGCAATAGATTGTTATTGTTTGCACTTGATAACAAACATTCTTTTCATAGAAATTCTTTGTTATTTTATTGCTCCAAATTTTATCAATAAATTCAAATCTTTATTAAGGGAATTACAGGTACTTTCAATGGAATATGAACAGTAGGACGTAAAAGTCCATCCATTCAATTTATGAATTTAAAGAGACATACAGTGTAGGTTTCTCTAACTAATTGGTTTTTGAAGTTCATTAATATGTTTGCTCTGTTATAAAGAAATTGTTAATTTGAATTTAATATGATATATTTATGAAAAAGCTGAAACATAAACTGCTGATTTTGATGTATTTTTGATGAATTTTGATGTTGACACCAACTTGCCTAGAATGAGTATTACACTAGATTCAAAATGTATTTTATAATATTTGTTTACACATGTTACACTTTAATAAAACATTGTTAGTTTATTCAATAAAGGCGTTGACTTGAAATTTAATCTCTTACACATATTGCCACATTGGTTCAGATTTTGGTCTAGTTTTGCCTTGGTTAATAAATGATGTTCAGTTTATATGAATACTGTACTGCCCACGTAACAAATAAGACCATACCCCATTGCCCCTCCGGATATATAAATTTCCCTCATTGTACATTACATTGCTTTGCCTGTTTTGGTAAAAGCAAGCATAGAAAAGTAGTGCTAAGACTCCATGTCTACCATTTCATAAGGCTATCAGTTAACGTATATCAAACAAATGGCGAATTGCTGGTCAAAGGGAAAGAACTCTAATAAGCGATGTTTAATTATATTTGCTTGTGGTCTGTCGTCGCATTAATTGCAACGTAGATAACACCTCTGACATAGCTCTCAAAATTTGATATCGGAAAGTACACCGATTTTCAAAGCTGCAACCTTGGTGAGGATTTAATATCTGAAACGCGTGTCGGTTACATTAGCCGAGATCTTGTCAAGTTATCAGTTTAGCGCAGTAGTTTCCAACCTATTTCAGCCTATCACACCCCTGGAGCAATCACGTGGACCTTTCATACCGAAAAAATTTGTTTCATCCACATTTGCAGCATGTGATGTGAGGTTTTATTCCAACTCAAAATAAATTCTTCTCCTACACCAGTTGGCCACACCCCCGGGGGTGGAAACACCCAAGGTTGGGAACCAGGGCTTAGCAGGACAACAACTTGTACTGTCTGTTTTGAATGACTAACTTTTTCTGCAAATAACACGAATTATCAATCGTTCGGGTAGTTGATTTCTGTGTATTGACTTCTGACTGTGAATACAATAGAGTGAGAAAATAAACTGACAAGCAAAAGAAAGTTTTCTCTTTAAAAATCGTTGTATAAAAAGCAAAAAAGCTGGTACAGGTTTGAACCCCAGCAGCAAACATTTGCCTGAATGCAACGTTATCATGACCACAATGCAGATAATCGAACGCAACTCTCCAAATCGTGCATGCATAAAAACGTGCAAAACGCGATTTTGCGTATAAATACCGAAATTGGACAGAACAGGCATTCAGTAAGAGAAAAACCACCAAAAGTATGCTAAGACTTGCACAAGCACAACGAGATAGAGCGGTATGGCCAATATGAGGGCTTCTCAACGACAGAAAGCTAGAACCTTCAACTGCTCCCAGACCACCATCAGCAATTTGATAATCCGGCTCCAACAGACAGGACAGATCCAAGACTGACAAAGATCTGAAGACCGAGGGTGACAACACCGACCGACGACCGCTACATCCGGAGGATTCATCTTCAGATGGGTGACGGCGGCGTCGACGGCAGCCGAACAGTCCTTCGAAGACTTCGTTCAGGTGGTATACGAGCCTATCGACCCTTCCGTGGAATGGCGTTGACCCGTCAACGCAGACTACAATGGGCACGAACTGTACGCCGGTGGCAGCGACGTGATTGGGCGAGGGTGCTCTTAACGGATGAAAGTCGATTCTGTCTGTTCAGGAACGATGGCAGGGTTCGAGTTTTTCGACGAAGGAGAGCGCGACTGGCGCCAAACTGCATCACAGAAGTTCACCCGTTTGGAGGTGGAGGCGTCATGGTATGGGGTGGAACAGGATTCCTGTTGACGTTATCCGCCGCCTGACGACGTTATTGATGACGTTTTGCCTGACTAATGGAATAATCTCTTTATGCACTTTTGCAATGAACTCTGGTTTGTGTAATTTTTAATTTTGACCCCTTGACTCTTCCTTTGTGTATTGCGGAGAATTGAATATCGGTATTACAATGAATTTTCATTCTAATTTAAGGAAATTGATTTCTGTTTATAAATCAATCATCATATATCTCACATTTGCCTTTGTCTTTGGTGTGTGGCCAAATGAAGTCGGTGAAAACTTTCTTTTGCCTGTCAGTTTACTTTATTCAAACTAACAACAATATTATGATTTATTATTATATTATACATTAGTGATTACAATATGAAATGATGAAAAAGTGCATTTTCCACATTTTTTTCTTAATTATGCTTTGATAGAGATTTAAGCTACACAACATCGTTGTATACAATGTTATAAGGTACGCAAGATCGTTTAGTAACTATTCTGCATGGATAAAAGCAGCTAGATCGAATATCGGAAATATTCAATGTTTTTGGCATAAGGTGTACAAAACGACAAATTTGCATAAAATAGAGAAAAAGTCTTAAAAGAACTCAAAAAGTCTAATTTCACTAATCTGAGACGTCACCTAGTCCTAGAACTCACTATTTAATATCTTTAATTTTGTTCATAATTTAAATCAAACTTACAATGAGTTAAATATGTAAAACTACAATCAAAGTCAAATTACAAATCTAGAATTTCGTTTCGTTGTTTTTCTGCTCCAACTGTCATTCACGATCTGACGAAATTGTTAGCGTCTTATGTTCTGGATCATTTTATATTTAAACTAATCAAATACATTGTTCCAAATTAATCTGTTCTTTTTTTTGTGGGAAATTCTTAGATGTCCATTGTTAAACATTGGCCTGTATTTTCAGTCCACTTTTAATTGTGTTTTTCATAAAAAAAAAATTAATAAAAAATAAACAATAACTGTTTATGTGATTGGGTCTAAATTTAACAGAACTCGAATTTAAGAAGAATATCATCAGATCATATATGACGAGTGTACAGACCTGCTGAAAAAACTCAAGGAAAACATTCAGATTTACATTCTAATCAGATTGTACACGCTTGTTTATATATATAGTGTTATAATATGTCTATAAATCACTTGTTTTACAAGCATGATCAACTTGTTCTGGTACGGGTAGATGATCTTCAAATGGTGGCGTATTACTCATTTCATCTCGTACCTAAAACACAACAATATAGCTTCGGACTTTTAATTCCATTAAGATTTTGTATCCACTATGATTATTATTGTGATTTCCTTCATTGTACACAGAATGACGTTCCGTTCGTATCTATTCATTTAAGATTATTTTTGTGATGGGTGTGAATTCAAAAAATCATCAGAAAACTAAAATAAGTGAAGTCTTGTCAATTATTTTTCTAGATCTTTTTTCCGATGAATCAAGTAAATTACTAAATTACTAAGTTGATACAGAAAATATGAAACGACATACCTCTTCCGTTCTTTTAAAGACTCGGATTAAATTTTCACCAGCTAACTTTTTCAGATCTGGTTCTGTCCAACCTCTATTCAGTAGTTCGGCGAACAAAGCTGGGTATGTAGAGACATCTTCTAAACCCTCGGGTACTCTGTTGATAGAGTGTTATTTTAACATCGAATTGGCATCGAATGATTTGGTCTGTACAATATTCTCCATGTACTCGATTTTAAACATTTCAACTAACATGATCAGGGAAAATTTTGCGTACAATCGATACAATCGATGACGATGCAACAGTCGAAGAACCTTAACATGCAGATCTGAAACCTTGAAACTTGTTCATCCGAACAACAATCGTTTTGTCAAACCCGTCTTACATGATTGACACAAGAAAACCAAATGAAAACCACAAAAGTACTATTTGAATCAGAACACCAGAATAAGAAGACTATCCAGGAATTTCTTTGTGGTACCAAGATTCAATGATTTCAATGTTTCTTATGTTCAATTTGCGATAGTCAGACAATTTGAATAAATAGATTTATACCGTTCCACTCCGTCATAATCAGCACCTATACCAACATAGTCTACACCAATCAGAGTCTTAATATAATCTATATGATCTGAAAATACAATAATGTTGATTATAAAACGGTGTACATGTATATCAATATGTTACAAACATTTCAATGGCGTATTTAAGCGGTAATGTTTGGATTCCCAAAGTTAGATGCATTCTCCGGCTTAAAACAGTTTCCATGGAGACTCCCAACCATGACTAGTGGCCTCTAAAATTCACACAAGTACTCTGCCTCAAACCCCCGTCAATAAAATCCTCGCTACGCCGCCGCTTGTAAAATTGCATATTTACAATCTAATCCAGGACCAGATTTTAATAGGAAATTTTCTTTTAAAATTTGTGGTTATTTCAACCCGAATATGAATTTTAAAAGTGCGACAAAAACATGATTGAGGCAACAAGTTCTTAGATAAACATGCAGTAAATATCCTCTTGTGACACGACATGTACGACTTGTCGGACTTGCAAATAGTCACCTACCTGCGACTTGAGATAAAGTTGCTTTCGGTTGCAAGTTTGGAGTACAATTTATATAGTCACTATAAAAATTCACCATTACAACACCTTTATTTTCTTTCTATAAAAAGATGGATTACACTTTCAAAGACAATTCCAATTCTTGTAGATTCTTTATATTAAAGTAGTTGTTATTAAACCCTTCATTGGTTCACAGTCATCTTAGACATTGTCCGAGTGGAAAGTGGACATGCATTAAATAAATATTGTACATATATCGTAAACGGTCAAAATTGATAAAGCTAGACTAAGTAACAGATTACGTGTCTTTGTTAGTTGAGAGTATATGGAGACTAAGATAATCATAGCTTATAACCACTCACTGTTTTCTCCAGAACATCATTTCGAACGTTTCTGTTATGATTACATTTCTCATAAGCTGATGAATGACTGAATATAATTGGAGCTTTGGTCACTTCTAAAGCATCTAACATGGTTTTCCGAGAGACATGTGATAAATCTACCAACATTCCCAACCTATTCATCTCTTTTATAACCGTCTGAAAAATAACGATTAAAATCTATACCAAAATAGTGCTTCATTATAATCTTGGTAAGTATTGAAAATCACGAGAAAAATCACAAAACATCTCTTTTTCCTTCCGAAGTCAGTGGTTCCAGTAATTTCAAAAAGGACAGTTGACCAGATCATGATTTATTTTTACAAATAACATTCAAGTTAATTGGTTTCTGAAAGCGTTACTGATTCAATAGTAGTTATAAACCCCTGAAAAAATAGAATGAATCTAAAGAAATCACCTTTCCAAAATCTGTCAAACCATTAACTGAGGTATCAGTGTTATTGTCTTCATCAATTTTCCAGTTATCGGCCCTGAAAATAGTTGATTATTATCAGAATTTAATTTAAAATAGATCTACATCAATATCTTCATTCTACAAATGCTGTGGGAAGATATTCTCAATCTCTTCCTTTGGATTCCGTTCTGTCACGTAATAAAAAAAAAGTGCCAATGAAAAATGCGTTGTTCTATATTATAATCCAATTAACTCCGCAGTAAAATGTGATGTTTTGGTTTGTAAAATCAACCTGGACTCTAATAATTACTCTGCAATCATGTCAAGCGGTTTATGTGTGTCTTTATTCCATCATTTTCACACAAATCTTCAAAACTCCTATGAATTGAAATGCCCGATGATTTATAGCCGAAAAATGAGTTATGGTGTGTTCTTTAAGGGAAAATCGTCGACAATCTTCTCGCTACGAACGATCGTGAAAGTATATGCAAGGTAACCAAGATATTTCGACCCTTCTTTCACGGTCCGGGGTTTCAATAAATTGAATATTTACCAGGGTGTGTTACAGCTGTGAGTTACAGTCATATATCTCACTCCCAGATCATAAAACATTCTCAAATTCCCTAAACTACTCTGTATGGAATGTCCACCTTCTAAACCAACCAAACTGGCAAACTTACCGGCATCGAACGCGTCAAGTATTCCTGGAAGAAAGCCAAAACAAGGTTAAATGTGACAACTAAACTTGAATAGATTTGAATAAATAAATAAATTATATAAGTAAACATGAATATGCATCTCGCTGTACATTTTTACATCATAGTATCAACTTTTATCAATCCCGTTTAGTGAAGCAATTCTTTCGCTGTATCAAATGATATGGAATTTGAAAGTTGTGCTGATTGACAAACTAGTCGACTTTAGTCGAAATTTGGATTTTTCTAATCCCATTTGATCCTTACAAAATATTGATATGCATGATTAATCTGGAATATGTACGAACTCTTTCTAACAACAAATCAGAAATAACAAATGTTATATTCAGACAGTACTCACCTTGCGCGGATGTGACAAATCTAAATTCATTTGGATACTTTGCATTAAATCTCTTGATAGTGTCCATCTGATCCAGGGATATCCGAACTGAATCTTTATATTGAGATGAACATGGTACATACAGTGCCCAGAACTAAAATAAAATGTAATAAGAAAATGCCACGTCTTTAACACTAATGGTTTGATAGATACTCGTATTTATAAACTAAACTGTCGTTATTTCCGATTGGTCTATTACCTGTTAGGTTTATAATACCACCCAGCTATAGACATATTGGTATTTCATAACGAAACACAAACCTGAGCTTTTAGTTTACCCGCCTTTATTCTGGGTATATCGGTATGTGTAGGTGTCCAGATGCCTTGTAATGATTGGTCTAAATTGATACTGTTTACACTATTATTAGCCTGATTTCTGTACTGCCATGCTAAATCATTATGCCTGTAAGCAATAAAATACACAAAGTAAATGGTTTTGTAAATTATACAATCTGATGCACGCTAAGTGTCGCTTTATAGTTTCATCTATGAGAAAACAAGTATAGGAAGAGTGAGGGCAACTCTCATGGGTTGGTTTTGAATTAGTATTCTATCGGTAATTAGACATTTCGGTGAAGAAACCCACTGGTCTGAGGGGCTGTTTAGTGCACCCCTGGTTCCATCCGAATAAACTAAGCACACCCCCTATTTCTGTCCATCTGGAAGGGATATTCCGGCATTTGACAACAGTTCCAATAGTACTCATTGGGCAGCTTGTTCATAATATAAACATTATCAAACTATATATGAAGTTATCAAAAGATCAAAATTTTAATGTGCGTCACAAAAAACTTATTGACATACTATAATATAATATAAGTTGTAATGGGTTGCAACTGAAAAAGGTTTTAAATTTATACCTAACCTCGTTTAGAATGTCTCCTAAAAAGGAACCTAAATGGGGGTAATCTTGCCGATGGAATCAAAGACCGACGTTCCATTTGGCTACTAATTGAGCAATTTACACGTTTTGGAGGGAGGAAGGTTATTTTTATTAATATAGCCACTTCAGTTGGGTTCTAACGACAGGGCGTTCATCAAATTAACCTTATGATCTAACTCGATGACTCCTGCTTTAACCAATCAAATGTCTACCTTCTCAAACGCTGACATTTTGTGACGCTGTGTTTATCAGGTTAGACCAAAAAGATTAATTTGACGAAAGTTCCAGATGGCTGTCGTTAGACACTAACTGAAGTGGCTACATGTCAAATAAAGCTTATAAAGAACTAAACTTTAAGATTCATTAATAATTATTGTACAATATCATATTTTGTACAAACTAAATCTTTACTGAAAAAGGGGGCTATTTAGGCGAAACATGTACATTGTACCTAGCATATACTATGTGAATAAAACAATATATTTTAAAAAGATATCACCTTATCAGAGACATAAGATATAAAACAGATACCATAAATATTACTTGGGACTTTTGTGCGTGAAAATCAGCAAAATAGTATTTTGCCTGTTGATTCAAGGTTGTATTATTCATGCATTAAACTGACGGATGACTCTAATCTCTTTCTTAATATGAACTGACCCATTAAATCAATGTCATGAAAATACAACCTAATTTAACAGAGGTTGGTGTAAACCCAATGAATACACTTAGTGAGAATACCTTGAAACCAACTGACGTCAACATGAACGCTACCAGTATTTTTTTTATCTTTTAATATTTCTTATATTTCTATACATATATCAATACAAATGTTGAATAATATTATATATATAATAATGGACTGGTAAATATTGACATAATATACCATCTCATTTAAACCATAACAAACTTGTTCTACCAGTGCCGGGTTCCATTAATCCGCCTATGCTATTTCACCGTATAAAAGCCCATATCAGTGTATATACGGGTAGCGGTTCGATCTATTGTGACAGTGGCAATTTTCAGCACTCGAAGTATGTTTTTTTTGTAATTTTTGAAATTGTGGAATCTTATAATTACAATATTACTCATTTAACATATCTCTGTTTTTCTCAACAATATATCATGCTGTTCCTAACCTGAAGTATTGGGAGTGTGGCAAACTTTTGTTCGATATCTATATGGTTTTAGGCTTTCTGGTGCATGTTTTTCAATACGAAGGACGTGTAACAGCCACAACCATATCTAGTCCGGTTGGGAACTTGGGAGAGGGGCGGGGGGGGGGGGGGATTATGATTGTTCTGACTGCCCATTGCTTTTTAAGGGATGTGAAGGGTTTTAATTGTCTCTGTCAGCTTGTGAATAAGAAAAGACCATTGCTTTAGAGGGATGTTTGCATATTTAACGGCAACTCAAGCCAAAGCATTTTGTATAATTTCCTTTCAATTTCGGGCTGATGAAGATAAGACTCAACATGCAGTGTGCACTGCCCAGGCAGCAGCATTAGAACAGTCTTTTTGATTTCCACATGTCAGTAGATATTTTGCATGTGAAGACATGATGGCTCACAACCATCGTGAATGATTTCATTGGTGACCCTGACAATTTCTATATTTCAGAGTAATTTTTGTAACAAAAATGGTGTCAGTATTTTATAGTCAAAAGGTTTCAATCATAACCACATTAAATATTATACCGACGTGACTGGAAATAAAAGAGCTCATACAACGGACGTCATAAATATGCAAAATAAAGCTATAGAGATACCATATTCGTTTTACTTTTAAAGTATAATAATCACAAATTCAACATTCATTTCAAATCATACTTTTACGATCGAGACCACCGGATAGCTCCTTGTGGAATTTCCAAAAGTAGCCCCCGTTTCACACATGGCTTGTCCAACTGCAAGAATCAACCCCTCTCTTCCAAGAAATAATATAATGTGCTGTTAAGAATAAACGTTTTGTCAGAAAAACGATGACAGCGAAAAAATATCCAAATAAATACATACGATGACTTGACAAAACTACAAACATACCCGTCAATCAGAGGATACTCATCCAAAACTCGTTTTGCTCTGGCTAAAGTAGTACTGGTATCCCTCTTGGATAATGGCACTCCGACTGCAACACCAATAATTACGGCGAGCACTACGACTCCGATTAGTCCACCAATTAATAATCTTTTCCCAGTACAAAAATCTTCAGATATAAATTTACCCATTCCAGTTCTTTTTATCTCAGACAATTACCACAAATATAAAGAAAATTTAAAAATCTATAGTCAGCATTTATAAATTGTCAGTAAAATCCACTTGAAACACACAAATATTGGTGTATAGTATACTTATAATGTGCTTGCTATCTTATGAATGTGCCAGAGAATTTCAAACTGGTCATATACCTGGCGTATACTAAATATATCGAATTAACATTATATATACGTGTACTCGAGACTACAAAGTCGTTAATAAATACCCGAATATCCAGTAATATGTATAAAAAGCCACCTCATCCTCTTTCAGTAAAAAACTCGAGTCCTTTATTTGATTCGGAGTCGTTAACCGTAGACATGTAAACATTGAATACATGTATAATGATATAGTCAAGTTTTGGTGATACCTATCTCAGCTAGAGATTGTTATTGTTTAATGTTATATTAATTTTTGTCTAAAGATTATAAATTGGACGTCATATATATTTTCGTCCTACTTTTATACGCCTTATTCAGGTTAGCTACAAGCAACACCATGCAATGTGTTATTAAGTTTAACTGCATGCACAAACTCTGGCATACGGGGTTCGATTTATTGTTCACATGAACGAGTTGACTCATTTTCCACGCGAGCTTCTCTGGTCTGCGTTACTTATGGCGAAACTTGGTCGAAAATCGTGAGACTTTGTTGAGAATGAACCAAGGACCTCCATGATGATGGATATTAATTCAATTATACAACTCCCTGGGCCAATATTTATCAGCCTAATCAATACGTAACAAGAAAGGGGAAACACACCGGATTGAACCTCAGATCTCAAGGCTGAATTTAGCAACTAGATTTAATGTTGAATTACATCATCACATTTTGTCTGTCAAGTTATGTTAAAGAAGAGATCAGGCTTTCGCAATAGGCATGCAGTATTGTTTTCTCATCATGTTCTGTTCTTCCACAGAAATCTGGCGTGTATTAACATCTGGACAACCAGAGCTGGTATAAACATCTGGGAGAATAAAGTCTTCAACGTGTTCACAATGATGTAATGTCATCAGTTCAAACATAAACTATGGCCAATAAATTATTATCTCAGTATGCTGGTGTTTAAATTGTCTGTATCATAGTTTAAAGAAGGTATTTGAGTAAAATCATATACTGGTTGATATAGTATATGCCTGGTTTACGACTGTTGTTCAACAATGTTTTTGAGCAGAGTTATTAGATTTTGCATTCACAGTCATATTTATTTTTTTTAGAAAAAAAACATTCCATACCCAAAATATTATTGTCCAATATGAACGGTCGGACAACTATGTAGCACAAGCTGTATTAATTTTAAGTCAATTTGTAGTTCTTTTCAGCATCAAGCTACCTACCCATCTTCAACAAACAAATCTAACATGGATTGTCCACGTTACGGAGAACTACAGAAGTACTTTTCTGTATTAAGAGTGTGCAAATAATATATTTGAATGCCAGTGAATGTAGTAGCAATTGGTTTGTGATAAGTTTTTATTATCAGAAGTACGAACTGTATGATAAGATACCAATAAATAGTATAGTTATATCTATGGTACTAGTAGTGGGTAATCTTGTAGTACATAAAATAACATACATGTACATTCATTGAGTATATTTCACAGTAAAATAACGTGGGTCAAGGTCGACATCTATATCTATTATACATTAACATAATTATTTAGATGCAACCATGTTTGACACTTCTGGCATATTTAAACTGAACACAAACTGTTTTGGAAGAGATCATTGAGCAGTAAATTGATTTCGGTGTAGAAGTAGAAGAACACTTATTTACAGCGACGGGGCAAAATAATTGCTTAACTAGGCAGAAAGTCCGTAGCACTTTTATAAAGTAGGGTAAATATTTTAAACGATATTATCTCTAAAAAAGGGAACTATTTCGGTTCGTCTCTGGGTCATTGATTCGATTGATCCACTCGCGAGAGTGCTTAAGATATTTTCACTGGTTTTCACTTTGTTGATGTTGCAGATAGTATCGATTAACACAGAATAAGACTGGGTTAGGTAAAGACTGGGTTAGGTAAAGACTGGGTTAGGTGAAAACTGGGTCAGGTAAAGACAAGGAAAGGTAAAGACTGGGTTAGGTAAAGACTGGGTTAGGTTAAGACTGGGACAGAGAAGCGAGGGCGTAAAACAGTGATTGATATAAATTTATTCTGATAATATAAACTAAACAACAGCAATAATAAATAGTTATAATATAAAAACACTAAATAAACTTATATAATAAAAACAATATGACTTTAATTACTATAAACTAATGGTTACTAATGCTCATATCAAGGTTGTCCAACGAAATAGACGCAAAAGTCTAGCTGATTTCAACAATAAAAATGTTATTCTAAACGTCACCCCAAATTCTCAAAAAATCTTTTTTTTATGCAATTGAGGAAGTGGCAGTGCCAATAATTCATAGATTTTTGTTTTGATCTCGTTCAAATTGGGAGGAGAAATGGTACTTAGAGCTTGCTTGGGTACGAAGAGTATAAAAGGTTGGTAACAGGGGTTATAGATTTTTAGTGTCATGATGTATTGTGAGCACCAATCTGAGCAGTTAAATTGTAGGATGCACGAAGTGATTTTATTGGACACCCCTTTTAAAATGGCAAATATTGAAAAGTTATAATAGGGAAACTAGGAACAAGAGTTAAAAAATAGGAAATGTAACGAACAAAACTCAAAAAAAGACTATCATGGTATTGAAATTATCAAAACGCCATTCTATGAGATTTATAACAGATGATTACAATACATAACCTATTGCATTTCGTTTAGGCGTAATATTAGTGTTCAATATGGAAGTTAATCCGGGATGACAAGAATATGGCCAACTTAATTACTCTTTACATGAATGAATAAGAATAATCCCAAGTATGAGAGTGGCGGTAATCAAATAATCATCGGCCCTGTAACACTCCGAGTCTCATTCAGAGTGCCCATATATGACTACAGACATTCAAAGATATGCCTAAGGCTAGGATAAATTCGTAAGATATAACTGTACTTGAAGATAAAGCCATAATCAAACAATATTTAATTAAGATAAACAAATAGTATCTGAGAAAGAAAACATACATTGTATAAATAATAGGTGATTACACATAACCAAATAAACAAAAGAAAGATTTATATTACATAGTACATGATAATACAATTCTTATGATTATGTTCTCGATATCAATTTAATCAATTAAAATAGGTAAAGATATGAGAAACAAAATCCCAGAAATGTGCTATATTTCATTACAGAGAACACTGTTAATAATTATAAAGGCGACACTTTCCATATTTATTCTGGTCTACCCAAACTAAATTCAGTGGATGCATTTATGACAAAGAGAAAGAGAAAGAGAATAAACGCTTAACCTGTAAGTTGTGTCATAAACAGCACAGTTAACCGGACTCGTCGAATATAGGATGCTCTAAATTGCCGGTGGTTCAAGAAGGCGTTAGAAATCGTTATTCTATTGCTACCTGCAAATTGATTTATTTGGAAGTTAAATAATGCTCTTTAACCTTATTTCCTGAACCCCTCACTTTCAGTCTCTCAAAATAACCATGACCTTACCAACCAATTTCAGACTTGCTATACTTCATCCCCCTGCATATTAATAAAAGTAAACAGTCAATAGCATTAGAATTTCTGGTTCCATGTAGCCTGTTCCCAGAGAGATCTGACTGCTTCGCGTAGCTGGTGACAGAAAGTCCAGGCTAAAGGAACAAAAAATGATTTTCCAAGAAGTTCCCAAGTACCCAAGATTCTAATCCAGTGCAGTGCGTCACATTCTACTTCTGATGTACATTGGGTAAAACCCTGATTCAACAGCAACAATTCCTTCGGTAAATACATGGACAGAGTAAGAAAGCTAACAAGACAGATATCAGACGGTGCTTGCAACCGTTCTCCAGCAGCGTCCAAAACCAACTCATCTCGTCGTATCAGGTACATTACAAACGCAACCAGAAACGTAATGAATATCCCGATGCATTGAGGAACAAAGCTAGTGACGATTACTGCTTTTCTCGCCGTCTCACTCGGGAAGTAGAGGGTACATTTTCGTTCATCGACTCCAGCGACTAACTGTGGTACCAGAATAACCACTGTTAGAACCCATGGTGTAACAGCGATTGAAATGGCCATTCCTATTTTTTGACTGAGATCACAATAATAATATGAAGTTATTCTTAAAATATAGTTGATGTTGATTAATAAAACAGCCCAGGTCGTTACCGAGGGAACAATTATCGTACTTAACGCTTGGAGCGACATTTGTGTAGAACATCCGTGAAGGAACTTCCTGTTGACCCCGAGGTCAGCAATCAAAGGGCAGACAACTAATCCCATAACTAGGTCAGCAATGGCGGCACTGAACATCAGCATGTGTTTAACAGATGCCCGTAGTTTCCAGTAGCAGGGGATTAATACCAGGAGAATAACGTTGAACAATATGATTAGAATACTCCATACTACTAACAGGGCTATCATTGTGTTATCTTTATCTACTGCCTCATTCCTCTGATAGTTTTCATCTTGGTACACTTGTTTAGTTCTGGTTGGACCAAGAGCCATGTACATCTGAAAATAAATAACGACCAAACTTAGAATCAATGATATTAAAGATCATATTTAGTTGCAGTATTTGATGTACCAAGATACACTACATGCGTATATTAAATGAATAGAGTTTTGCGTCCTACTTTTCTGCACCATGTGGGCAAATGAAGACAGACAACGCAATGTAGGATTAAATGAGAGAAATTTACCAGGACAGAGGCATAAGCCTGCTCTTTTTCGATTTCCATCTGTCGAAGGATCTTTAAAAATCTGTAAAAAAGGCACACGAGGCTTAGTTTTATTGTCCTATACAAAAGATTAGACGCTTTTTCCATGTCCCATTTCCATATTACGTGCATCAACGAGTGTCTGGAGAAACTATTTATGATGTGAACTGGAAAATAATTCACCTCGTGCTTTCACCTTTAGAAGGTTCGGACAGGTCCCAAATGAATTATTCTTAATGTATCTCTTATAAACCATTAAAAACATGTAGTGGTCTAGTAAGGGTCAGTATGTTTTGTTTACGTTAATCAGAAAAATATATATTTTAAATAAGGAGTATTGAGGAGACTCCTCTCACTTCAGTGTACTTAATAATGTAACCTTATTATCTTATCCAAATGTCATGTGAAATATAATCATAATAATTATCATTAAAGGTTTTGTTCGTATCGATTGCAAATCGCTCTCTCAACAAGGTAATGACTCAAGCCATCCCTAGTATAGTCTATCTATGAAGCACCAACTTTTAACTTATTCAACGATCTGCAACGACTCTAATAGGATTCTATGATTATCAACACCATTCTCTCAACAAGAATTACTTGGCACATTACTCAAGAGTTTTATAAATAGAACGGAGGTTTATAAATAGCTTACAGATGTCAAAAAACTCGTTGATTTACAAGAAAACAACTCATTTATTGCCTGTTTTACTTACCTCATTTTTCTACAAATAGCTAATTATAGTGTAGGTGCAAATATTATTGATTTGTATTATTTAGCAAGAACTGAACCATACATTAGGCTACTTCTTGGATGTTTTATTTGACTGAATTATAACCTCTGCGATATCGGGCAAAACGATTTTTTTTAAAGAGAATGCTATTCGTCTTTGATCAAATAAAACATTTTTTCTTTTAATACTCCTAACAGGATCTTTGACCGACTACATTACCACCTTCCCCTATAAATCTTTACTATTTTGTGATTTTCTCTTGGGTTTCCCTTGTAATCTTTTCATTTCGGAGAATATAGCCTGAATAGAAACACTTAAATTATACTGGACTGGACTGAAAAGCGTATAGGCTACTCATTCAATGCGTTAGTCATTATGCAGCAAGAGATTCGCAAGACGTCAATGCAAGCAATGTAGATCTATCTGTAGAATATGTTATTTTATCTCAAAATATATTTCATATCCAACATGCGTGAATTGAGAGTTGATATAAAAGTTATTAACATTTAGAGACTGTAATACCACAAGTGGTTAATATACCGCTTTTAGCTGTTTTTAGATATGCTTGAATATAGTGTCATATTTTCGTTAGCAATAAGGGATGCAGAAGGGGACCAGAACACTCGTGTTGTATTCAGCCAAAACAACCATTTCAAGCTTGTTTGTCTTTTCTACAAAGTGCTTCATTCACAGTCAATTCATTCTAATATTTCGCATTTTGTTTATTGAAATGCATGTAAGATGAATTCTTGCATACGCGAAACAAGCTGTAAGAATTGCGCTATCAGAAACATCTGAAGGTCGTATAATATCCGTTTATGTAACTATATTCTACACTGAACACAAGATACTATCAACCGTGAATAAAGCAATCCTTCATTTCTCATAAAATATTTTACACTTGCTCAAATATTTGGTTAGAATCTTATACATATTGACAAAATCCTTCAACGAGCTTCTTCAATATATTTATAAGTTGTGATAACCTTGGCAACCAACTTATCTTCCATATTAAATAACTTTTCTAATATCACAAACTTTTTAGTATCATACACTCACCTGAACGGCTGACGAAGGTTGATTACCCATGACGTGACTCTGATTGTGTTTACTAATACGAAATAGAAAGAAATATCCAAATACGAAACGAAGCTAATATTTTTCAAACCAAAAATTGGTGAAACCACTGACTATATCGTTTTTAATAATGGCGTAGAATATATTTATTTATAGAATATTCTCTACAGCTCGTGCTATGGTTCTTTACTTCTGTTGAACTTTAGAATACGGTCGTCTGTTAATCACGTGCCCTCCTGCTGAGATTAACAGAAGTAGTCAGAATCAAAAGTGAGCCGGCCTGGTGCCAATCGACGATCACTTTGATCTTATCTCGATTTAATTTGTTTTCAATTCTCGAGGTCAGTTTTCGCCTTATACCCTTTGTACACAGCGTGGCAGCATCACTTATTTCTTAATATGATACAGAATAATAGCTTAGTGCTATTTACCACTAAAACTTCAGTTCTGTAGGATGTCTTATCTCGTCAAAAATATATATGATAAAATTGATAAATTTATCGAAGAATGGACAGTATTTGACATCTTTCGGAATTACCATTAAGCTGTTGTATGGGATTAACCTTAAACTAATTGCGCTAGTTAAGTCTATACAGAAAGGTATAAATATATAAAAACACTCTACTAGTAAGTACTAGATTGACCGAACGTGGAATAATTATTTCTCTACCAGATCTACCATATGTTTTGGTTAATTACAATATAGTCTTTCCAGTTCTGTACAATCGATTCTTCAGATAAAATTCTAATATGGGTACCGAGAGCAGTAACTTGCTATTTTAACAGTGGAAATTATCCGAATACTTTCTTTCGAAAATATTGAAAGCTATGTTCAGATATGGTTTTCGAATCGTTGTAAAGATTAGTGCACATGTTCAAGGGGTCCATTAACATTCGAAGTTTTCATCAATAGTTTTGTATTGACATATTGTAATATATAAAACCTGACCTGAACGGCAAAATATTTGCTGTTTTTATTTTATCGTTTGTGGTCGATATTAACGACCTAAAAGTATTGAACTTTTCTCAGTAGACGCAAAACGTCAAAAGTGTCTACGTATTTCAAGTTGCTTAATAAGGAGTGCTCCATATAAAGGAGTTGTAAAGAGGTTTTTCTCAATTTTTAATGTGTATCGATAACACTGAAAACATTTGGAAAATGTGGAAAATACGACATTCGAGATACTACCCGAGTTTTCCATATTCCTCACAGGTAACAAATACAGCAATAATATTGCGTGTGTCAGAACAAACTGTCAGTCATAAGTTAGAAGTAGAATATTTTTTCAATATTGCAATTTTTTATTCGATTTTCTCCCTTGAACTAGAAATCTACTAATTTATTAACAGATGCCTTTTTATAAATTCTGTATATTACCTTTCAAATATGCCTATCGTCAGTTTCCATTTTCTATTTAACCCTCCGGGTGCAACCTGGTGTCTCAGAGGCCCTGCGCTATATTTGATGTTGTCTATCTACTAGGAAATGCTCTAGTAGCCTGTAATTAGGGTAATCATGGAAAACATATTATCCTACATGTGAGTAAATAAAAAATCCATAAACTTTTTTTAGGAACGTTGGGTGTAACATGCATCTCAATATAGATCTATACATCTGAGTTAATTTCAGCTAATAATTCTTCTCACCGTCACAAAGTATATTTCCACTTTCTTCAACTAATTTTTGCATTAAGACAGATAATGGTTTTAATTTCTCATGGATGACGCACCATATTCAGTGTTAGGGTGTATTGGGACGAGTCTCAATGAAAGCATTGGCCTAGGTCACAGAGCAATAGATAAGTCTATTGATTATGTGAAAATTAGTTAGTCATTAGTATGATTTTAGTTGAAAAGTCACACACACAAACATACACTGCATGTTATATAATATACTGTATATAACCATGGCACCAGTCCTGAAATAAGTATTCCCTGAAATCTAACTTAGAAATAGATTAATTTATTGATAGAACATGATACATTTATATTAACAAATCTATGCTCCTAGGATGAATGGACATTGTTCAATGGTTCAAGTCTACCGTGAAAGAGGAAATTGCTAAGATTTTGATTTCTTTTGTAAGCTACAACCAAACGTTTTGTGTATACATGGGGAAATTTGTTCTGAAGTTCCGAGTAATGGCGTTTGACTATTATGGAGGCTTTGGTAGCTGTAGAATCAAATGTCGTTATAAAGGGTATTGTCTGGTTATCATGTTGAATGTTGAGTCCATTTGGTCTCACAGTCTGCAGTTGATCGATCCAATAACTTTCGCGTTGTAGACGTCTAAGCTTAGGTTTCATGCTAGGTGATGTAGAAACTGTTTCTATAGGCATGATGAGAAGGTCATCAATGGAATGATCGGGAAGGTTGAAGTGATTCGCAATTGGTCTATCCTTGCCATGCACTATATCATAGAGATGGCCATTGAATCGCGTTCGAAGCGCATTTTGAGTCTCGCCAACATATTGTACATCGCATTTTTTACAAGAAATTAGGTATATGATATTTTGATCCCCGCAAGAAATTAGGTTATTCATCGCAAACAATTTTCCGTTCTTGTTATTTTTGAAAAAATGGGTAACATGTATGTGTTCGCATGTGCGACAAGTAGGACCTCCACAGGGAAATGAACCGAATCCAATAAAAGGTGGAGGGGGGTCTTCTTTTCTCAAAATGTCTGAAAGCGTGTCATTCTTAATTTTTCGAAGAAACCTTTTGGAATAACCCCTCTCCCTTAATTTGTCAAAAACTAGTTTACAGGCGGATTCAAAATCAGCCTGCTGGGTGCAAATTCTATGAAATCTTAGAATTTGAGATTTAATCATTCCAGAAAATGTGTGCTTCGGGTGGAACGAGCTTTTGTATAAAAGTTGGTGGATATCAGTTTCCTTAAAAAATACTTTAATGTCTAATTTTTTAGAAGAAAGAAAGTTGTTGCGTTTGAACACCGTGGTGTCCAAAAAATCCATGCTGTTTTCGCTGATATTTGCTGTCAATTTCACAGAAGGGTGGTGGTTGTTTAAAATTTCGAAATATTTCCAGAAATGTTCTAGAGTATCGGACCAAATGATAAAAATATCGTCAAGAAACCGGCCATAAAATAAAGGTTTAAACGGTGGGATATTTTCTATCTCCCTCTCCCACTCGGCCATAAATATATTCGCATAACTAGGGGCAAATCGTTTGCCCATAGCAGTTCCAGATGTTTGTAAATATATTTTTCCATTAAAAAAGAAGTCATTGCGCGTTAAACATAGTTTAAGTAAATCTAAAATCTCTGTACCAGATCGATCAGAACATGGATATCGAACAAATGCCTTACGGACGGCGTCAAGACCAACATTGACAACATTGTTGTCAATGTTGGTATACATACTGGTTACGTCCAAAGAAATGAAATACGCGTTTTCGGGAATGTCCAATTTCTTGATTTTTTCAACAAAATCGGTTGTGTCTTTCAGATAAGAAGGATGTTGGTATGCTAGTGGCAGTAAAAAGTAATCTATGTATTCTGAAACTCGGTATGATTCTCTAGAACAATCAGAAATGATTGGTCTACCTTTAGGAATTTTGTTGGCAACGGACCACTCAGTTTCGGGATTTTTTATGAATTTTCGGAAGCGTGTAAATGTGTCGTTGGCAAGGCTCAGTGGACGCGGAAAGGTAGTCATATTGCTTTTCTGAAATAAATTTCTTTTTTACCAAATTTTGTAGAATATTGTTTATTTCTCGCGCAGTTTCCATAAAAATAGGTGTATCAAGTTGGCGATAGTGATTTGGATTGTTCAACTGTTTATCAATTTCAAAAATGTAGTCATCGCGATTTTGAATGACGCAGCAACTGCCTTTGTCACTTTTCCTGATGATAATGTTTTTGTCATTTTTTTAGATCATTGAGGGATT